GGTGAAACCTAGCATTCAAGTTCTGCAAATACTTCTTTCTCCAGTGTATAGGTTATTTGGCAAGCATGTAAAAACGATTGCTGCATCACTGAGACAATAGACCTCAAAAGGAGAAGTGCTTGTAGGCATTTAAAGTTTTTTTTGTCACATTGACAACCACCCAAGTTTATATGACATGTGCCCTTCCTGAAAGAGATACAATCTCAAGGCCAAAATAATAATATAAGAAACGTTTTACTCTATTTATTATGGCCATAAGCTGACAAACCAAAGTGATTTCAGCAGATGTGTTTAACTAGGTGCTGGACATAGGGGACAGTCTTGCCATCCCAGATGAGTTCACAGAGGAGGAGAAGAGCTCAGGTCGATGGTGGAAGCAGCTTGCTGCGGGGGCCGTGGCGGGGGCTATCTCTCGCACTGGGACTGCCCCTCTGGACAGAATGAAGGTCTTCATGCAGGTGAAATATATTAAACAACATTTGACAAATGTATATTTCGCCTAGGGGAAAAATAAAAGAATAACCTCATATATTTGTTCTGCAGGTTCATTCTTCTAAGACTAACCCCATAAGCCTGGTGGGGGGCTTCAGTCGGATGATCAAAGAGGGAGGTCTGTCCTCACTGTGGAGGGGAAATGGGACCAACGTTTTAAAGATCGCACCAGAGACGGCTATAAAATTCATGGCATATGAACAAGTAAGCTCTAAACTGCAAATTCAATTTGCCATATATATATTTTGATAGTATTCATAACTGTTTTATAACATTATAAATATTTATAAAAATCCTTTATTTTTTTCCATTTAAATGTGTTCTGTAGTATAAGAAGTTGTTGTCATCAGAGGGCCAGAACATTGAGACACACAAGAGGTTTGTAGCTGGCTCTCTGGCTGGAGCCACCGCACAGACATCCATCTACCCCATGGAGGTGAGACAGCTTTTCACCAAAACTTGAAAATACCACAGAAATAAAATAATAATATTCCAATGTTTTTATTCTTTCATGATTTCTCTGTCTAAGTTATTGAAAACTAGACTGACCCTTGGGAAAACTGGCCAATATACAGGAATGTTTGATTGTGCCAAGAAGATCCTGAGGAAGGAGGGAATCATGGCTTTCTACAAGGGCTACGTCCCAAACTTAGTGGGCATAATCCCCTACGCTGGGATAGACCTCGCTGTTTATGAGGTATGCAGGATTTGTGATTTATTTTTCTCCTTTGTGATATTTCAAAACAGTGTGTTAGTGAGTGCACTTTGTTTAATTAATTTAATTATATGCACCAGTTCATCTTATATTATAAAGTAATTGTGGAGTTCTATGCTGATGGTTTTCAATTAATGTCTTTACTGTGTTTCAGACTCTAAAGAACACGTGGTTGACGCATCACACCAAAGACTCAGCTAACCCTGGAGTTCTGGTGCTGGTGGCCTGCGGCACCATCTCCAGCACCTGCGGACAGCTGGCCAGCTATCCCCTCGCACTGGTGCGCACACGGATGCAGGCACAAGGTAAACTCATCTGCATTTTATGACCGTGACGACAAAACCTATATAGCACATAATTTAGGTCTTTACAATTTGGAATAATATATAATTGTAATTTTTGACTGATCTTGCAATTGCGATATGGTCCACAGTATTGGAGGGAATGCACATTTTTGCATACATTTTCTTATTTTCATTGAAAAATAAACTATTTTTTGGTGAGATTTTCTGCAAGGATCTGTATCAAACATATAGTTTTTGTTAGGGTGGAACATCTCTGCAGCACCACAATACTTAATTTATTTTCACTCATTTCATTTCAATCTTTATTTCGAACAGATTAAAGAAATAACAAATGTGAAAAACAGAATACCGTATTGTTAAAATACAGTATTTATCCACATTCATGATAATATTTATATATTCAACAAAAAAAAAGTCTTCATATTAATAATAATAATAAAAAATCACATGTGTCCGAAAGGGAGCAGGAGGAAGCAAATGCTTATTAATTCCCACCCCTTACTTGATCAATGATTGTCCTTTAAATCATTATGCAAGTTATTCCTACTTACATTTACATTTATACATACATATACAATAATTTCTCATCTTCAATCACCTATCTTCATTCTCATAGTTTTCCAAAAAAGTGTTTCTGTACATCCTTTTAAATTGAATTATGCTTGTGCTTTGTTTTAACTCCTGCTCCAAACCATTCCATACAATCACCCCACAGATTGTTATACTCATACTTCTCAGAGTTGTTCTGACCTTGAGTTGTTTAAATGTAGATTTCCTCTCAAATTATACCCACCCTCTCTGTCTATGAACAATGTTTTTAATTTCCTAGGAAGTAGATTATGTCTTGCTCTGTACATGATTTGTGCCATTTTAAATTTAACCAGATCAGTGAACTTCAATATGTGTGTATAATTCTCATATTTTGTCTTATGATAAATAATAATATTGCGCACCCTCGGATTAAAATGTGTCCATATTGCAAATTCGATATATTTCCATTAATCTTTTCGGCCTTACGTAATTACACAGTACATTATATTTTTCATAATTATTGCATTGTTAATGTGCTGACCAAACTCTGTGAAGGCACCCAATATATTCTGGTCACATACACTTGAGTTATAAGTCACATAATAAGTGGGCTGCCTTTTAGCATACAGCACCAAAGTAAAAATCTTTCAGATGCAGCACCGGCTCCCTCACTTACCCTTTTCTCTGCAGCGTCTCTGGATACAACAGACCAGCCCTCCATGAGCAATCTGATTAAGAAGATCGTAGCCAAAGATGGCTTTTTTGGACTCTACCGAGGCATCCTGCCAAACTTCATGAAAGTAATTCCTGCTGTCAGCATTAGCTATGTTGTTTACGAGTACATGAAGACTGGCTTAGGAATTTCCAAATGACCCTGGAAGCCAATGAAAAAAGAACATTAACTTAATTATTGAACTTGAAAATGACTGTAATAACCCCAGAAATACAGACAGACATACAGAGCATGACTTCCGCGAGCTGGAACAGGAGTTCAGCGGATGGAAAACTGTATGTATCCTAATGGTGGCCTATCATTAGCTAAAGCATGTATCGTTTGTGCTGAGCATGCTTTAATTATTATTCGAATGTTACACATAATGCACTCCCTAAGTATGTACACTGTCCAAAAGAATATTTCACACGTAAAAAACGTAATTGATACATACATAACATTAGCATCAATGCAAACAAAAACAACGCATCTTCAGTTAGCAAATTCATTGTACTGTTACTCTTTAAATCAAAATGGAATGTCAATGGGACACAATGTGGTGCTTTTTGATAACAAAATAAATATTTTCTTCAGAGAAGCTGGAGCTTATTCAATGAGGCTTAACAGCAGTCATAATTGTCTTTAATAATGGTAAAATGACACTACGCAACTTTAAATGTTTAAGTCCACAGCCTTTAGGGGTCATTTACAACTTCTATAAGTGCCTGCCTATAGAGTGCCTCCAGTCAGCTGAAAAATAAATAACCTGTTAACACTGGAACACTGTGAGCATGAAGACAATGCATCTTGTGAAAAATAACTAAATCTGTGTGTGATTTGAGAGATAGTTTAAATGTGCCTTACAGCCACACAATGTGAACTTTCTGGCATTAATATATATGAATTTACTATATATACTTATACACAATGCATTTATGAACTGTTATGATGGGCACTACAACGATGCATGGTAACAATTTAAAATAGTAATAACTGGACGATGTAATTTAAATACTTGCTTCCTGTGTCACTTTTCTACAGTGGCCCTGAAGTGCAAGTCAAAACAACATTTCACAAAACACTACAGCATTTCACAAAAGACTTCAACATGTCATAAAACACAACGACATTTCAAAAAACACTACAGAATTTCAGAAAACGCCACAGCATTCTACCTTTTTGCGGAAAGGGAACCTGTTAAGCCCCAAGCCTGTTTTTCAGGTCTCAGGCTCGAAAATGACATTCCCAGAACAAATGACCATATCTTCCCTTCTAAAAGGGTTAAATTAATAATCTTTTTTCTCAAAGCAAGGTTACATCTGTGAGTTGGATGAAGAAGTGTCAGAATCAATATAGATGTTTTTATTTGAAAGAAAATTCAGATTGAACACAGTAACAAAATGTAAATTATTGTGTCCGTCAAAAAACAAAAAATTACTTATATTGAAAACCACCCTTGAATGATGGGATGGTAGAGTAAAAGCTTTAGGAATCCAAACTACAACATATAATAAGTACCCTGTATCAAGATTGATGCAAAACAAGTGAAATTTGACCTTTTTAGAGAGATTTAGCAAATAAAACCCACTTCTGGGGTCATTTGGGTGGATTTTCCATATCTCTGGCCCCCCTTGATCGATTTTGATGATTGACACCTCTTTCTAACCACTAGAGCCAATGGAATCGAGGGGAACTCCCACATACACACACACATTACCAAATAAGGAGTGAGAGTGACGCATAGCCAAAACCGGAAGCTGTGATAACTGGTGGCTACCATTAGCAGCTAACTTTTACTCTCCGATTTTTACATAAAAATGGAATTGTGGATTATAAATAATATTTTCAAAGCGACAGACACATTATCAACCTATGGATTAACAGATTCAGCCACGATTTTTCTCGTTTTAATGTCAACACGTTTGACTTATAATGTTCTTCTTAAATATATGTACAAACGTCTACGGTGAGACGATCTCCCGTAAAAGCTCCGTAAAGGTACGTGTTGTGATGTCTGTGTTTGCTTCCCCTGTCGCGAGTTCGGATCGCTTAGTGATGATACTATACCTATATAATCTGTGGAACCTCAGCTTTAATCGGATATCTTGTATGTGCAGTTACGATAAGTAATAAGGGTATCTTTATCTTGAGTTCTGTGCCAAAGTGCGTTGAGCATTTTTCACTCAGGGGTCATTTAGATGCTTCTTATGAGACTTGTGTTTTGTTTTGGTAAAAATGGTTTGTATCGTCAGTTAGCTGAGATTCTTCCCGTTAATCTGGTATAACACATTAATAGGTTCTTAAATATTAAGATGCCCTGAGACACGGTGTCGTGAAAAAAAAAGACCCGCCGAAGGGGTCTTTGGGGCTTAACAGGTTTTAAGGGAGAACACTTATTGTTTGTGACTGGACAGAGCCGACAGCACCACGTATTTCCTGTTTGGTACTGTTCAGCTGTTTCTTCACGAATTTTAAACTGAGGTGGGAAGAAGAGATGGAAATCTTAAGGGAATATTCTAACGAAGGATATACATACGATGTTATCCTCGACATGCTGTCAACCCATCACAACATCAACATGTCCCTTAGAACCAGGGGTGTAGTGCTGCCGGAGCGTCGCTCCGGTTGTTAGCATCTGGTTAGCTAGCTATGCTAACGTACATAAGGAGTTGTTTCTATCATAACAAGGTGGAGGAGAGTCCTCACCTGTCATACTGAGAGGATCGTTATGGGCCAGTGACGTCACCGATGACAAACGAAGCCTCGCTGCCCCTCACGTGACTGCTTCAGAAAGTGTTTTAGATCGGTTGAACCACAACGCTCATATTACCCATGGATGCAGGGGCGGACTGGCCATCGGGACGTTCGGGATACCGTTTCCCTGCAGCGTCGAGGCTCTGGTGACAGTTCACTCAGCTGGAAAGCAGTTGACTTACAACCGCAAGGTCCCTGGTTCAACGACTGGCCAATAAGTATTTTTGTTTGTTTATAAAAGCTACAGCTAAATGAGATAATGTAGTTAATAAATGTATTCTTTGATATGGTTTAGCCTTTCTCAGGCTACAACATGGTTACGTTTACGAATATTATTAATGAATGATGAATTGGAAATGGGGGACCCTGATGTAAACAAGACGAAAGTCTTTCTCTGGTCTGCATCCCCTTAACAATTGTATGTTTTGAGCTGTACTGTACTGTACCCAATATACAAGCTGTTAATAAACTTTTCAACCAATCAATCAATCAATCAATCAATGAATACAAATCCCTCTTTGCAATATTTACCAGCCTCCTTAGGCTTTTCAATCACAATCATTAAACTGGAATAAATACAATATTGTTAACATGAAAATATTATTTTATGTTGGTTGTTTAGAGTTATTCTAAGGCTTTACTCATTGGGAACTCGGTAGGAGATAGAGCACACTGTTGAGATGTGAAATCTTGTGTTCAAATGAAGCCCATGATGAAGCCTCATGAGATGAACCCTTTTGCGAACCAATTGGCTGGAAAGCTTAATGAGGCTTCATCTCGCCATCACTAGTAGTAGGAGCAGTGTACTATCGACTAATTACTATGTTGCTAGTGGGGAACTCATTTTTCCGAGTATTCTTATCTACATGAACGCAGCATGCATTTGTCCCTTGCCGCACACTGTAGTTGCTGGTGCTCCACCGAGCTGCAGGAGTTATAAAGAGGTTGCCCCTACGCTGGAAACAGACTAAAAATAAACATCAGCTGGTACTGGTAAGTTTATTCGCTCAATCGTAACTACATGGTAAAGTTTTCGTCGCCTTGTCATAATCGACACTGACGTTGTAAGTAAGACATACGGCGATGTAAGCTAATTGTTATAAAGTGACAGCTAGCCGCTAGCTAACTGTAAGCTAAAAATATTCTCCTGCCGAAGTGACCAGAGGTGGGCACAGCTGAACCAGCTGAGGGGACACGCTGCTAGGTTACAGCTAGCATGCTATGGGGGCTTACTGCTCTGATTCATGGCCAATTCGTATATTAACATTTAGGAAGTTATAACTTGTTGCTTGCTAAGTAGCTAGTGGGCGGTGCTGTTATATCTGTCTGGATGCAGTCTGATGTGTTGTGGCAGGTTTAGGTTCACTGACAGTGCCAGTCACACGCTTATGTATGAAGCAGTCCAACTTTTCAATAAGCCTTTTAGCCTTTCTGGAAATCCCTTTAGCATCATGTGAGAAGTACTGGAAAAGCATACCACGGTGTACAAGTACTATGTTACAATTCATGCATTCAAAATATTTCCTAAATAAAAGTACAAATGTACTTAGACATGTGTTAGATAATGTTATCAACTTGAATTGACTACATTAAAAAAAAAAATTGGGCTTTCTAACACATTAATATTGTGTCATATTTGTACATATATTTAAGAACAACATTATAAGTCAAGCGCAAGTTACAGGTGTGGGCCTTATTCCATTATACTTTTAGAATAAACTGAGGGCCCGTTAAAAATGGACAAGGGCCAATTGAAAATGGACCAAGGGCTACAGTTGGCAGCCAGGCTGTAGTTTGGACACCCCTGTATTAGCGTCATAATTTAAAGTAAATAAAAGGTACTTGTTCGACAGAATCCCTTTCAGAGAGACCAATATATAACTGATACTTTAACACATTAGCATTATTTTATACTTTATACAGTATGTGCATTACTGATTCATTTAGCTTCTGAATGACTACATAACAATAAAGAAGGTATGTACCCCAAAAAATAATAGTCTCTGTTTTCTTTCCAGGAGCACCATAAATAGAGTTATTATGGGAAACACTAGTGACCGGGTGACTGGAGATCGCCATGGAGCCAAGTCCCAACGCTCCGACAGCAGCGGCAGCCCCAAAGACCAAGAGCACAGCGGCAAGATGGTGGACAGCACCGACGACCCCAACATCTTCAACACCCACGGGCCAGAGACCAAGGTACTGTTGTGCAAAACAGATAACATAGAAACATTTCTCTCGAGGAATACCTTTCAGATTTCTGTGCCATTTTTATATATTAAAGTTGACACATCAATCAATGTTTTTTAGCCGTTAGGTGAGAAAGAAGCCGATCCCACTGACCAGGTGAAAACGGGTCCTCAGGCTCGACCCACAGTCATCCGCTGGGCTGGGGGGGGAAAGGAGGTCTACATAGCCGGTTCCTTTAATAACTGGGGCACAAAGATACCGCTCAATAAAAGGTAAACATGTTTTCTTGTGGTCTGCAGCTTGCTTTAAATTTGAGTGCATTCTTAGGTCAGAGCAACGACCACATCTGCACTAAAGCACTTTCTTTTTTTCTTTTCTCCAAAGCCATAATGACTTTGTAGCCATCCTGGACCTGCCTGAAGGAGAGCACCAGTACAAGTTCTTTGTAGATGGACAGTGGGTTCATGATCCCTCAGAGGTACATCAGTGTCATTTTATTGTCATGTCATTAAAAGTTGTTCCCTTAAAGTTACGTTAGATCATGTATTTTCGAAACGTTTTGATTTAAATAATCTTTATATAACAATGGAAACCAATAAATTGAATTCTCTGACAAAAGTCCAGAAATCAACCTGGTATCTGTGGTAGGGGGTCGCAGGCATAGTGCATTGTCCTTACCCCATGCTATATCATCTAACAATAGCAATGTTTGTGGTTTGCGTTCATATTGATCATTTTGAGAAGTGATCTTGGGGAGTGGCTTTAGAGGGAGGCCTTAAGGTCAAGCTTTGAGCCCCAACCTGGCGTATTTCTCACTAGATTTAGCTGTTTTTGGAATTAGTACTGTTAAATTGTTTATTACGAAATGGCAACGTTAGACTTGGTTTTTCTGAGAACAACCATCGCTCAAAAGTCTTTAAGTTGTTTAAGTGTAAACAGTGGCGTTTTCTATATGTACAAAGTGGTGGGCACAAAAAAACTCAGATGTCTATAGAGTAGAGAGTAGAGATAGATATATATAGTATGGAATTAGAAGATGATAGAATAAGGTATGAAATAAGGATAATATATAAGAGAGAGATATAATGATATATATATATATATATATTATTATAGAATATATATATATCATATATATATTAAATTATATATATATATATATTATACTATATTTTATATATATATATAATATATATATATATTACTATATATATATATATTTACTATATATATATATATATATATATATATATATTATATAAGCTTCTGCAGTTGAGGGGTATGGCTGGTGAGGCACTGGCACTGACTCTTCAGGTTTACAAATATTATATTTTGACCTAAATCAAAATATAATATTATTTTCAAAAGCTTTTTTAGTCTGATGCTTCAATTAATTTTAAACAGACAGTTCAACAGAAGGATACCCAAAAAATGTAATTTTTTTTTTTCTCATTTAAATATTGAATTGTTCTCTCTTAGTAAGATCCCATTTTCAATAAAATGGTGGTCTTACCTTGACTTGAAGATGAAGTCCATTTGCCTATCCTTCTGGACAAAAATCTCTATTACTTTTTTGTAAAAGTCCTCCTTATCTTCTTGTAGTTTCAAAAGTCTATCATAAATCTAAATGATGGATTTATGATTCGAAAATGATAAAAGTAGGGTAGACATGTGGATATTATCCGGCTGAACAAAACGTACATTTATCTAACAGCTACGTTTCCCACAGATCTTATTTTGAGCTATTTTCTAAAATCCTATGGAGAAATCTCATTGCTTTTTTGTGGAGGGAAGCCATGCGCAGCTTACTTCCTGGTTTTAGGACGCGTCTCTCTCCTCCTCTTCACACACCACACTTTTCGCGGCACACGTACTTACAGCCAATCAGCTCTGAATTATGTGAGATGATGTATGGTGGGGATGGCAGCACTATGCCCCTATGGTCATTATTTTTTGCCACACACATTAAATAGGAAAATACTCTGAGCATGCGCAGTGTAGTTTTTACAGTCACCGTTCACTTAGACAGTGAGAGGGAGGGGCAAGATCGGGTTTTGTCCCACATGGCTCTAAACAGCTCAATAGGCACACACTGTAGACACTAATTAGAAGAACACAGACTAAAACAGCAATGTACAGACAAATCAGATGATTAAACATGATCTTAAAATATATTTTATAATTTATTTTTTGCATTTTGTTGTAATCATTATTTGAATACTTTCTGCTGACACTAGGTGGGGCTGTGCCCCACCTGCCCCTAATGACCAGTCGCTATTGAGTGTAAAATAATAATAATTACAAAAATTCTTAATCATTACCTTCTTGAAACATTTCTCTTTCACAGATGGTTGTGACCAGTCAGCTGGGCACCATCAACAACCTGATCCAGGTGAAGAAGTCTGACTTTGAGGTGTTTGACGCGCTGCATGTCGACTCTCTGGATAGCTCCGACTCAGGTCTGCTTATGTCCTCGATGTACTCACACTACAGTTAAATCTGGTTCAAAATGAACTATGGACAGTTTAACCTAGCCTCTGATGCCCTGTCAGCAGAGTTACAATAACTGTGTTTGTTTTCAGATCTGTCCAGCTCCCCTCCAGGTCCTTACGGCCAGGAGCAGTACGTCTTCAGACCGGAGGAGCACTTCAAAGCCCCCCCTATTCTCCCCCCCCACCTCCTCCAAGTCATACTCAACAAGGACACCAATATATCGGTCAGTGCCCTATCTTTCTATACCACTGTAGTCTGCTTACACCTCGATGTGATTGACCTTGTTGTTGTTCGGACCCTCACCCTTATGTTCTCTCTCTCTGCAGTGTGACCCCGCCCTGCTGCCGGAACCCAACCACGTCATGCTCAATCATCTTTACGCTCTCTCCATTAAGGTAGTTTCCCCACAAACAGCTTAACTACTCCTCATATGTGTCCAGATGTTACTGGCACCATATCAACTACACATTTTCCATTTCCAAGTCAGATTCTTAATTATATACATTTTTGATTCTAATTTTTTTTTTAAAGTGTGGATTAACAAGTTGTGATTGGCTAAAAAAAACTCCATCGATATGACATTTTATCTCAATTTTCTTTTTCAACCTGAATCAATTAAAGCCTTCATACTTTCCCAACATTTGACCTATTTAGTTTTAGCAGATATTTAGCCAGCAAATGTGGAAACAAACCTTCATGTCAAACTGTGTTTCTTTGACAAAGAATCAAAGGATTTGAGCCTTGAAAATGTTTTATACTCCTAAAGCAACCACACATGTTCAGAATGGTTGTATTAAATATGCTAATCATGCTAAGTGCTGAATAAATACTTGTTTTCATGACCATTTAATGTATTTTTGTATGTATCTTTGAATGCTGAATAGACCAGTTGGCAGTTCCACAAACTGGAGCATCTGATGTTTATTTCACCGCCGGTATTTCTGTGTTTCTGTCTGCAGGACGGAGTAATGGTGCTGAGTGCTACTCACAGATACAAGAAGAAATACGTCACCTCTCTGCTCTACAAGCCTATCTAAACCTGAACTTGATTGCTCCACAGTGCTTTTAGAGAGCAGCATGTCTGTATTCTGCTGTTTATTCCCTGTTTCATCACATTTAGCCAAACCTTGCACTGAAACAGGTTTACAGGTGAGCGAAGGCCAGCAGCTGGGGCTTGGTGTTTAAAAAAGGCTGCACTTCTGTCTACATAGGGCTCTGAACACAGTTAGTGTGTGTGAAGGGCTTCAGAGAGAGGAGGAAACATACACTGGCTTTCACCTGCAACTCTACAGACAGATCAGAGACTGACTAAATCACTGTGTGTGTGTGGAGTGTTTGCTGCACATTGTGAATATATGCATGTCCGTGTTAAACAAGGAGGGAGATCTGTGAAGCATCACTTTCTTTACTGGTGATTTTAATGATTTGATGTGGAGTAACAGTTTAATTTCAAAGTGTTGTGTGATCATATCCTCCTTGAACTGATTTCAAGTGTTGAACTACTGACTTGACAGCGTTTATGAAAGGTGCATGCAGTAGAGAATAGGTCAGTGTCTAGATGCTAAAGCAGACTTTGGATTAGTTCAACATAAAGTGCAATAACGTGCTGCTGTATCCTCTTACATGATAATAAAGAATAGGATGGGGAGGAAGCAGTGAACAACATCTTGTTTTGTCAGTTATAGTTACATGTGCTACATTATATTGACTTTCTCAGCATTCAACCGTTATTCAGTGCAATTACAACGTGAATTAAACTATAAACAAGACCAGTTTTGTCAATGTAACGGTTGCTAAAGATGAGTACTTGTAAGTTTCAATGGCCCACTGTCCTGATGCGGAGTGGAGGTCAAAGGTTATGTTCTGCTGTTGCCTTTATCTTGACATGTTGCCAGCACTTTACCATCCTGTGAGCAGGAGTGTTGATATAAGCTTTTAACTACGCATCAGACAACTCTTTACTTTAATGTAGCGTATCTGGATTGTACAACCCAATATGTGCTTTTTTCTTTCTTTTAGATATGATGGACGTACAATGTATATGTGTGTGCATCTGTATTGAGTTCTGTTCATCATTTATGAATGTATTGGATATGTCTGTTACATGTGTAGTCATACACAGAGCCGTGTACACCTAACTGTTTGAACTTGATGGTTTGCATGTATCGAATGTCTGCACATTTTGAAGATACAACACATCCACTGCACATTCAGAAGCAGTTTGACTGCTTTCAGATGTATTTATAGGGCTAGGAGGTTGGATACTTGCCATACATTTAAAGTTGTACAAAGTGTGCTGTGTTCTTTAAAGCCCGTGTCACACTGTCCCGAAATTGGCACCCGATGGACACACGATAAAGGAAATGTTCAAATTCGGCTGTGATCGTAGCAACATCGGGCCATTCGTGAGGGCATCTTAAGCCATCGTATGACCGCCGGTGGAGTTTCTCAGGCTCCGGCAGCAACTTCGTAACGGCCCGTCTACACTACAGGCGTAAAAAAAATGCTTTCAACGCTTCGCCCATTCATTTGAATGGGGTGACGTAGGATATTTTCAAACTTCGCCGAACTGCATTGTGGGTAGCATGGCAAGGCGTTGCAAGCATCGCGAGCGTCTATCGGCGTCAAAAGTTGAACAATGTTCAAAGTTGAACAATGTTCAACTTTTGAGGCTCGATGCTTGTTCGAAGCTGGCGTCAGCCAATCAAATCCCGTTTTTGCAATTCCCGCCAGTACAAGCACTAGCCAATCAAACCGCGTGCAAGCTGGGAGAGCCAGACCGCAGTTCATTTCCTCATATTCCAAACGAGAAATTACGGTAGAAAATCACCCGGTTCTTTCCGACCAGAACTATTTACCGGGATACAAACCGGAGGAACCAGGCATGGAGGGAGGAGGCAGAGACAGTGGAGAAAGCAGGCATGGAGGGAGGTGGCAGAGACAGTGGGGGAAACTGGTAGGTTTTCGCCTGTTTGGGGATTTTATATCCAGTTTACTTCGTTTTAACATTGCTATTGCTTTGTATGTCGGGGGCGGGAGATTCATGTGATTGGTTGTTGGTCGCGTTGCTCGCAAAAAATCGCCAAGCTTCAGACACGCCCAGCTTCAAGATTTTTTGATGCCTGTAGTGTAGATGGGCCGAAACGGCTATTTTTTGGCATGCCAAACATTTTGCCACCGCTCACGAAGTTGCTGCCGGAGCCTGAGAAACTCCACCGGCGGTCATACGAAGGCTTAAGATGCCCTCACGAATGGCCCGATGTTGCTACGATCAGAGCCGAATTTGAACATTTCCTTTATCGTGTGTCCATCGGGTTGTTTTATTGCACAACAAAATCATGTAAACATTATGTAAATAACCCAATTTGTGTTCTGTGAAACTGAAAAGGATATAATATATTATTTTGAAGGCGAGTTGACAGGAAGTTGTTGTTGCTATGGAAACAACTTGACGGAGAAAACGTAATATCTTCTACATATAAAGACGGAGAAAGTAAAGAACAAAGTCTGAAAATATCAGTACAGTATCGTAGTACTTTAACATAATTGTTTGTGTTACATTCGTTGCAGTTGTATGTCTTAAATGTAATGTAAATGTTGCCTTCGTGTGGGGTTCGGGGCCATCTTCGTGCGAAATTCACAATGCAATATTCGTGTGTCCATCGGGTGTCAATTTCGGGACAGTGTGACAGGGGCTTTATGGATAACCATTTAAGATATTTTGAATTGTGGTGGTTTTGAGTGTTTTTTGTTAAGTCATGCTGTTTGTCTGCAGTTAAAGTACAGTATCCTAACAGTTGTTACCCTTACAGACTAATAAAAGGGGCTTTCATAATCCTGTTGGTGTTCAACTAGCTCTAAAAGTATTATGCGAATGTTCAGCCTAGCCATGTTGTCCAAAGAGTTTATAAGACTTACAGATACGATAAGGGAGTGTGGACAAGTGCCGTGGACGAGGCGTTTAATCCAAAACTTGAATTTTACAACCGTTTCATGAATGTTTTGAAATGCTTTGCAGAACAAGTGTGATGATTCACTGTAGCCTACAAGGTTTTACTTGTTTGCAAATAAAGAAAGGACACGCTGGTCCTATAGTTTCTGTCTAGTTAACTCTTTTCTTCTTCTGGTGTAAGAAGCCATATTCTGTATTCTGGGTTAATGAAACAAGATTATTTATGTGTACCATATCAATACTTTAAAATGTATGTTTTTGACCTGATGCCTGTCAGCTTTTGGTTCTGGAGAAATCACTTAGATATTCTTTTTACAAAAGCCAGAATGACAAATTGACTATAACCTTGAAATGAAGACATGCTTACGGTCTCTGTCATTCTGTTGTCTTCCTGCAGCTTAGATACTCTTTTAGGAATTAAGGTCCAAACATTTACCAGGCAGAAGCTAAAGGGGATTTAATATAAAACAAGAACCAAAAGTCATCCACACAAACTTTTTGAAGTGTTTTTTTTATTCATTCTTTCCACAAATCTGTCATTGCTAATACTTTTTCCAACACAGTACACTGTTAACTGTCATCAGAGACAGGATCTATTCGAGTCCTGTATCGGCGTCCTAGTTCCTTATGCACAAACTCAGAAAAAGCTGCTTTCCAACCACATAAAAATTGCACCAATCAAATAGCATTATATACACATGTAACGCAGAACCAACAAAACATCAAACTGCTGTTTGATTCCCTTCTTAATAACAAATAGCAAAAAGGCTTTGCTTACGCTCCAACAAGGTGCTTTGTGGATCCAACGTTTCACAATCTTTCACTGACTTTCTTTTTACAGTAGACAATTCTTCAAAACATTTCCCTTTACATTTCAAAAAGGAAATATCAAACTTGTTATCTCTATTAAAATACTTGGCATCTTCAGTCTTTTTCCTAAGACTCGAGCGCAAACAAAACCTAATTTGGCAGATCTCAGGTAGATGAGCACTAGTTCATGTTGGCCGCTGAGAGCAGATTGCAGCTCTCAGGCTAAATATAAAGGCAAGCGAAGCAACATTATCAGAGCTTTGTTATAGGTGATGATTGTGATCAGTGACTTAGATATCATGAAGGCATAGTTTGTGGTTTCTAATCAGACACAGCCTATGTGACTAATTGATACAAATTGACACAATGCATATAAATCGCAGCAAACATACTCGTAATACCATGATGTTTAACATCAAAATAATATAACGCTATTGCACAGCTACCCAGAAAATCAACTTTGCAAAAAGCAAATGTTGGATGTTTTTTAACACGCACGCACACACATAGGAACCCACACGCACACGCACACACACACACACACACACACACACACACACACACACACACACGTTTAAACAGAACCAGCAGGTAATATACAGCATAAAATGGCAAATGTACAGCAAGAACACATCAAACTTAATTTGAACTGTTATGAGTGAGTGAATCAAAGAACAATGGTCCTACCAGTAGATTGCCAAAGTTTGCATCATCTATAAGAACTTGATAACCTATATTGCCATTGCCATGGGAATGCTGGGACGGCCTGAACCAAGAGAAATAAAATAAAGACAATAGCATATGGCCACGTGGGAAAAATCCACTCTGTTGAGTTTTGGTCCAAAAAAGGAGCTAATTTCCGTCACACAATTCGAAATACACTGAGCAATCTGTCTAACGGTTACCGTCTCTGTGGTTCTGGAGGCTCTCTGAAAAGAAGACACCTCGGTATCCCTGCGGTCTGATCAGACCTGGGTTTGTCATTCGCATGGATAAGGCAAGTCAAAGTACTGTAAGTTAGAAGTTTAAACTTTGGCAAGTATTGGCAATCCCCTGTTCCATAGCTTAGGTGTTTACAATCTCTGTCATGCATCAACACTCTGGCAAATAGTACAATCGTAACACTAATCGTGTCCTAACGTTATATAGAGTGTGACTAATAATCCAGTGTCAAGCTAAATATTAAATAATAACTCGGTGCAGCATGATCATTCATGAAACATCATTATTGCACATGCTCGTATGAGAACTCCTACAGAGGAGCTTGAATACGCGTGTTTAGCCCGGTTCCATTTCAGCACTTTAACCTCTGTTTTTAATTTGTTTTCAATCCTACATTTTGCTTAGGAAATCACAACCAACCGGATCGATCTACTCCCATGTTTTTGAAGTATTCAGTTTTTCAAATGTAGGTACATGCCAAAACGTACCATTAGAACCCTAAAATAGCATTCAGAAGCTTCCACAAATACCAGTACAGCTAGTACACAACTTGTTTCGCATCGATCGCCTACCTCCTCTACATTCCTCCACTGTGTGTAGTGGTACATCGTGGATGTCATTGTTCTTTGCATTGCATTTGCAACAAAAAAAGTCCTTAAAAGCGCCACGAGAAGTACACTTGCATTTCTGTGGCAGTTGAAGTTGAGGAAGTGTTGTCTTTGAGTGAGCCGTTTTAGATCACACATACAGATATAAATGTGTGTGTACATGTGTACAGAATTCCTCTCTCAAGCCACGATTTAACATGCAGGAACATCTTTTCCGTCCACAGGCTGCCTGGCTCTCAAAAGAGGATGCTCTTAGATACAGATCTCAGGGTGTACTATGGAAACTCATGGTTTTAATTGGCAAGTTATGTTATATTTTAAAATGCCTAAATCAGGTTTAATTATCCTGAAAGTTTCTGTTTTACAATCCATGAAACCAAAAATCAGTTTTAGGAACAGACACCTGTTCTGAGATCAGTTTCTAGGAGCATCTTCAACCAGCTCCATCAGTTGGACGCACGTCACTAAACCACCAGAGGCACATTTCAAACACCTTCTTCTGTCACACTGCCAACTGTATCACTCAAAGACAATAACACATGGAGGGGGAAGGGGAAATTGGGGGTTTAGGAAGTTTGGTAAGGCTCAAGGTGCAGATTATACTGCGCACATATTGCCTGGAGGAGGGAGGAAGCACTCTCATGGCGGGACGGAGGCTTGGTGGGACAAAAAGGCTGGTGTCGGGGGGCTGTAAAGAGGCTGGGGGGTGTTATATCTTGGCTATAAGAGGTTAGAGGTAAGAGGTGGTAGCGTTGAGGCTGGTTCTTTAAAAGTCTAAAGCAGGCATTGGCTGCTGCGCTTCCTCGCTGCTGGACGTTGATTGGCTGCAGCTCCGGAAGCACTGCTGATTTTCAGGAAACTGCGATGAGCAGGCCGCTCTCTGGCAGAAACTCCTGGGTCCTCATCTGGGTTTATGGACAGAAAGAGAGCGGGAAATCAGGATGCAAGTTATTATTCAACATTCCTGTTACAGGAAAAACTGCGTCCGAGGTGAAATGTTAAAGAAATATTTGAGCTCATACACCAATTTTGCCAAGAGTTGTATCAGAAAATACCACACTGTAAACCAATAGGAAGCTAGAGCCAGGAGACCACATATTAGCTGGACAATTCCTTGATCACTGATCTATGCAATTAAGTGTTAATTAGTAAGCTTTATGGGTACAGGTATCTTCGGACGGTGTGCGCTAACTGTTTCCAGACGTTATGCTAAGCTAGGCTAATCGTGTCCTGGCGGTAGTTTCATGTTTTACCTATAAAACATGATAGTGGAATACATTGTCTCAACTACCTCATGAAAAAGAGAGAATACATATATTTATTAATATGTTAAATTATTCCTTTTAAATCAAAGTAACATCACAGCAAGAACTTTTTACTGCTAATGTTTTTGTTATGTTAATGTTAATCGTAAAAAGAAATCGCACGCACGCACACACACACACACAGTGCTCTGTGCTGTTTGGGTGTTGATGACACCGATCATATTCAGGGGTAGCAGTGAAACCTTGTTTTTGAAGCGGTCACATACATGTTGTTGTGCGATCATCCTATAGCAAGGCTGTGACATCACACACACACAGGATGGAAACTGCAGCGTGCAGCTATTCCAGGGATAACTGTAGGGTTAGAAGCTATGAATAGACTCAACTTTAATACAGGGGCATGTGGAAGTAAACAATACTTTAGTGCAGTGTTATCTGAGTGGAGGGGTGTGTGTAATTTGGTGTCAGTGTTGTGGGAACAAATCAGGGCCTCTTAATGGTAAATACAGCTATTACAACAGCTGAGTCGTTGTGGTGGGATTTTAAGATCAGGTGAATACACACCGCGGTAAAATAAAGCGCTTCGTGGAGCCATGTGTTTTTTCTACTCAGGATAACCTCATGTTTAATCATCCCTAATAAACATTATTAAAGCTGAAATGTCATGTCATGAAATGTCATAAACAGTGAGTTACAGGATGCAGTTGGCGGTGACGAGATGACAAGGCAGTGATTTCAGCATGGTGAGAGAAAGCAAAACCACACGGAGGTAAAAGCTGCCACAGACCTTAAGACCTACAGTTTAAACAATAGGCCTCAAACTACTAAAGTCATACTGCATCTGGGACAACATGTACCTGTTTGCAAGATCACAAGATGTCAAACATTTACCAGCGTAAGGAGAGGAAGAGGAGGAGCTTAGAGAGGAAAGTCTCAGCTCATTCTTCTGGGAGGTTTCAAAGAGGAGAGACAAACGCAGGATGAAGGAACAAGTGAGGCAGAAAGCCGAAAGTGATGAATTCACATCAAAAAGACACCAGGGACATCACAAAGTACTTGTACACATAATAATACTGTGGAGAATGCACACATATAACCTACAGAATGATGATATACTGGATATGAAGGTGATTTTGCTTACCTCTAAATTTGTTCTGGCTTTCTTCAGCACATCACGAGTCCTTGACACTGCAAAAACAACAAGGAAAATAGGTTTTTATATATTGTATTTATAAAAATGACAGGCAGACAGATGATACCTCTACATAAACACTGTATGTTCTGCATGTGTTAAGATAACTCCTTTTAGGTCTTTGAGCATTTGGACCTGGGTTATAAATACAAAACTTGTCTTTTTAAGTGTAATCTCTAATAGTGTGCATTGCAGATCTGTGAATGATTGTTTATTGTTTCTGTCCAATCCCCAGCCAGGGATTTCTCCTCACTTCCAAGAGAGGACAAGCAGCAAGGCCGGATTAGTACCTCCAGGGGCCTGGCACTGAGCGCTCATGACCCTATAGACAAGCTGTGTTATTTATGGTGAAGAGTGAGTGTCATTTAAAACAATGTATGATGAGTGAGGTTGTGCCCGAAAAAGAAAAAAAAGGTTGCCCAGGTTGCCCATATGGTTAATCCGGCCTTGACAAGCAGTGTTGTCTCACTTCCTTCACTCAAACCTTATTTGGTTTTGTTTAGCACTCGCCCTTCCTACATTTCTTTCCCCTCTCAGCCTGGGTACAATTACATGGCCATGCACCAAACGGCACTTGAAATTATCCTTGTCCGTCTGTGCGACCAATACCCATGGCTTTGTGTCTCTCTTAATCTCCCTTGCTCTCCCTTTCACACACACAGAAAAACACTTACACTGGTTGACTATGAAGTGCTCCATGTTCTCCTTGGTGCGGCTGGTGCTCCTCAGTCTTTGAATCGTCCCCTTAAGAACCTCTTCCTGCTCCGACACACGCAGCTTCAGGGACAAGATCTCCTCCTGCATACACTGCTCCTACACGACATCACACACACGCACACACACACACACACACACACACACACACACACACACACACACACACAAAGTGACATTTGGTTAGAAGGTCTGCTTTCTTTTGAAACATGTTTGGGTTTCACTAGGATAGAGGTGTTGATTTTTCTCAACAAGTCATTGAACATTAGCACCACATAGTATTGCTTGTGTGACAATGAGCTCCACTGAAAAACAATAGACACATCTTGAGCCACACAGGTGCTCCAAGTATCATGTTTACCATAACAAATAAATAAACACATTCTACGCCTGAGAGTAACTTTTGGAAAGAAAATGTTCTGCTGTTTTAGGAAAGATTTAACCTTGTTTGAAAATCTGGTTATATTTTTGAAACATTTAAAGTGATTATGTTCTTTAGTGGGAACAAATAGGCGTAATGCTGAGTGGCACAGACATGCTAGGGAAACATGCTGGGGTTATAATAAAATATGTCTCCTGCACCTTCTTGAGGTTCTGCATGGAGGGGTCAGAGCTCGGCAGCGCTGCTCTCCAGAACATCTTCAGCAGAGACATGGCCTCCTCCAGGATCTGCCTCAGAGTCTTGGTGTTGGACAGCAGACTCTTCACACATCCATAGTCCAGTCCCTGCATACAGAGCTCAGTTAGATATTTACTTTAAACGTGTCATCATTTTTGTAATATAATAAATAAATACATGGCTCTCACCAGCTCACTGCTCTGTTTCCGGTCGCCCTCCAGCAGCGGGGGGCCGAGGCAGGCCTGCAGGGCGGTCTCCATGCGCTGGACGAGGCTCCGGCCCTCTAGCACTTGCTGCTGCAGAGCGCCGAAGTCATCCACATGGCCGATGGCGTGACGCCCATTGCGGTTTGCAAACGATCCATCAGGGGCGTCGCCCTCCAGCTCAGAGTGAGGGTCGAGAGGTTCTGCTGGAGGCAAAAAGAGCATGAATGTATATGGGGAAATAACTCTGAATGATGATTGTATTTCTTGTATTGCAGAAGAGAGTGATTCAAACATATTCCGTCAGGCAAACTACTGAAAAACAAGGAGTGATAACTGTTACAGAGCAACACAGTATCTTCACAGTCATTTAGATTAAGTCACAGACATGCAGTGCGGTTAAAGTCACACCATTGGCAGTGCTGTGGCTGTCATCCAGGTCTGAGTAGGGGGGACCGGGGGACCCGCAGTTAAACAGACCAATGTCCCTGACCGGAGGAGAAGGAGCAGGGTCTGTGGAGATCACAGAAACACACACCAGGCTTGGACACACAGCAAACCACACCACGATGAGCCGTACAAACATGATGTTGTTATTAAGTGTTATAGAAAGAAGAATGTCTCACCGTGCAGTAGCTGTCGCCTGTAGAAGTTATCTCTCTGCGGACTGGCAGTGAGGGCGGAGAGGGAGGGGGTCCGAGGGGAGCCCATACCCAGCTTCTGCTCCAGCTGCTTGTGGAGCTCCAGCTGTTTGAGAGCACTGTTCTCCTGGACGCTGTTCTGCAGCTGAGCTCTCAGACTCCTCACCTCCCCCAGCAGCTCGCCCAGCTCCACCGGCAGACCTGGCAGCTCACACAGGAAGCCTGGAGACGAAACACACCGTCACTGAGCGGAGAGTGGGAATAATTCTGCTTCAGTGCAGAATTCAAGGGTTTTATTCTAGCACAATATTACAGTAATATTGGGTAGATATTAAAAGCAAAATGTAGGCATTACTTTGGATTTTAACATGTTTAAAAGGTTCAATCATACAGTAGGCAGAATTTAAGCAACTTAGGTTTATTGTTTGTCAATTTATACCAGTGTCCCATAACGCCATTCTTAATACAATCACCAGATGGAGCCAAAGTGTTACATTTAAAAAGGGGTGGGTATTAAACATAGCTAGTGTAAAAAGAGCACACTGACCTTTCTTGGCTTTTGTGCTGGAACACACTTGATCGTACACTTGTAGTTCGTTCTGCAGGGAGTGTATGAGCTCTCTGCTCTCACAGAGCTGCTGCTGCAGGAGAGACACCTCATGCTGGAGCCTGAGGAAACATCACAGCGCATTTCAGTCAAAGAGTAGATATTTATACCCACATACATACGCAGTTTTCTCTACTAATCAGTCACTGTTTGATTCAGCACCAACCTGTTGGTTTTCTCCTGGCTGGCCAGCCGCTCCTGCCTCAGGATGTGAATCTGCTGGCCCTGTTCCTGGCTGTGAGCCTGCAGTCGTCTCAGCTCCTCTTTCCACTGCTCCGCCTCCAGCTCTGCTTGTTTCAGGCGAGCGCGAGCTGTAAACACCGCTTCCCGCAGCTGCACCACCTCCTCACATGTGTCTGTGAGAGGAGAGTTTAGTATGGGTTATGGTGTATTCCCAAAGATCATAATGAAATATTTAGCTGGCTTTCAGATGTTACCTGTGCTGGCCTGCAGGCGTGACTGTAGGCCCACATTTTCTTCCTTCAGGACTCGGATCTCATTGGACAGCTGAGTGACTGTGTCCAGTCCCTGGATATAGATGTTTGTAGGTGCCCCTGGAGAAATAAACAGGGGTTATGTTATGCAATTTATTGCACGAAGAACATGAAGAGTGTTGTAATGAGTGCTACAATACCTCCGTCACGCCCATTGGAGGCCAGTCTCTCTTCCAGCTGCAGTCGGAGCCTCTCATTGGTCCTGATGGACTCCTCCAGACGCTGACGGAGACACCGCACCTCCCGCAGGTGCTCCTCCATCAAATGTACCCCTAGATACAAACAGCATAAGAGTAATATATTTTCAGAAATTGCACAACACTTTTTTTTTTTAATCTTGCTTTGAATTAATTACATATTACAATAATGTCTGACTTTGTTATACCTGTGTTGTTCTCATGACCTATTTTGTTAATTTTATTATCCTGTAAAGCCCTTTTACATGCATTTTGTGTTATGAAAGCTGCCTTATGAATACATTTTATTATTATGTGACTGCTTGTTCGAATGTACTTTCATAATAACAGTATGGAGTCTCACCTGTATGGCTGCCTCCCTGCAGGTGTCCCGACCCAGAGTACCCTCCGCCGTGCTGACCCCTGTTCTCCATGTCCCACAGAGTCCCTCCTGTCAAACGACCTGAGTCCGACTTCAGCGAGTGGCTTTCGGGAATGCCACCCAGTGGATACTGTTGAAAGGCATGATGGGAGAGCTGGCTGTAGCTGGAGAGGTCGTGCTGGTTGTGGCCACCAGGTGAGAGGCTGAACAGAGGCTTGTCATGGGGGACAGCAAAGCCTGGAAACACCCACACAGAAGGGAAAGTATGTGACCCATGATGTAAGAAGGAAAGGGAAATGATCGTAGATATTATTATCTTAATTGAAGCTTTCTACACATGGCACACCACTCCCGGCCCTCACCCCTGTTCCTCTCCATCATCTGTCTGTACAGCGTGTCCAGCTCTGGGCGGACAGCGAGCACAGACAGGGCCCTGGGCCGGGGGGCAGAATAAACCTCTCTGCCCCAGGCGTCAGGGCCACAGGGGCCAGACAAGGAGAAGGAGACGGGATCACTGAAAAGGGCTGGAGGAGGATGACAGGAAGTGACACAAACAGAAAATGAAGGATGAGGAAAAAGGAAAAATGTTGGGGTACTTTGCTTTTCATAGCCATCTGTAACTCTTGTACCTCTGGAGGAGTGACTGGTGAAACCCACAGGGGCGGAGCAAAGCATGTTGGGACAGCTGCTGGAGGTCTTGAGGAAGCCATGAGGAGGAATAGAGGATGGAGGGACTAAAGGAGGGGAATGGAAAGAGGGAGTGAAAGTGGATAGAAGAGGTATTTCTCAAACACGGAGAGGAGGAACAGGGGAATTAACTTTACCGTCTCGTTCTGATCCGTGTCCCGGCAGCCCCTCCTGGTATTCTAAATCGGAGCACATCTCCAGGTCTTCGTTGGTTCTGTACTCATCGGACACCAAGGACGTCCTGTCTGATTGGTCGGTGGTCTCAGAGAGGGCGTGGCAGCTGGACGGGGTATCTGGACGCTGCTGCAGCTTGGTGTGGAGGGACTCGATGATTTTATCTTTCTGCTGAAGCTCTTTACTCAGCCTGCACATGCACACAAGAGAATCAACCATTTATAAATGGAATACTCAGCAGTTGTTAACAAAGAGGGAGGAAAGGAAAACTGGCTTCCATTTTTTTTGGTGAAACCAATATAGTATACATTTTTTTGTTGCAACGAATGAATCCAAGTCTTTTTAATATATTTGCCATTTTTATTTCATGAATCTTTTTGATGATTTCAAGTCAACCATCTGCTGTATGTAGACAGATCTTCCTAAAGTGAATGCACCTATGTGAAGTCATTTCCCTTACTGTTTGAGTTGCCAAAGCAAGAGCTCCCTGTTTCTCTCCAACACCATCCTAACACAAGCCGTCTCTCTTGCTTGGCTTCGAGCGGTAGAGAAAGACCACAAAGAGTCCCTGTATATGGAGCTGTTCATCATAGATTTCCAGAGAGGAGCCATCACACCATCAGTCCAGTCCAGAAAGAAAGTTCTTGATGCACTACAGACTCTTCGTCTTCTGATTTGAGTAAAAATATCAGTATCCGAAAGGGGATTTTTTAACCAAAACTCCAAAGAAAGTAGTTATAAATGAAGTCAAAATAACATAAATCCATGTATAAGAGACTCCAACGGAAACCATCTTTCACAAGTACTAGGACTGAATGAAGAAAAAGGGACACACAGCCACACAGTCCCCCCTGAGCCTCTTAAGCTGCTGCTGGGACACCTGTACTGTAAGTCCATTCAACTAAAGCAACTTAAGGGTGAAGGCTCCATGCTGTGGCCTTTATGTGGATTAACAGCACCCTTCTGTCTACTCCACCATAAGGAGCCATGTGGTGTGCCGCAGCGTGTCACATGACAAGGTAAACTAATCACTAGGACAGAGTAAGTGCTCCACAAAGAAGGCTAATAACTTCACGGAGGTCCACAGATCACAAACGCTGCAGGCGCTTCTGTAGGCCATTCTTTTGCTAGTTGCAAAGGTTTAGGGATTACAATGTGTCTGTTTCTGAATGCTGACTCACCGTAGTGCAAGCAACTCATGGCCTGCCTTGTCATCGTGGCTCTCTGCACGTTCACCTATGGAAATACAACAGGAGAGAGGAAATGGTGAGAGGAAATGTTAAACATTTACAATTTGTGCACAAGAATGAGAAATTATAAAACATTTCTATTCTGATTTGGAAAGATTTTTCTTAACGTCCAATGATCTTGGCGACCGCTCTTGTGCCAGGGCAGAGTTTTGTGCCAGCTGCTCCCTGAAGCTCTGACCCATGTAGTAATCTATATCATTCGCCCGCAGCAGCTCCTCGAAGGCCTGTGCGATGTTGAGAATTTGAGCAAGTTTAAGGATTAAAGCCAAAAATGTAACACTTATATTATTCTCCCGCATTTTGGTCATATGCAGTTGAATGTAGTTTAATGATTGATTGAGTTTGCAGAAAAAGTGTTCAGCACTTGGTGGTGTCCACCCAGGTGTTGGGTGAGGATATGGCAGACTCCTTGCCCCTCTCTCATCCTCTGCCTCAGATGAGACAGCTCCCGAGCTTGAGCCTGGATCAGAGTGTTGTACTTCCTGGAAAGGGATTATTATAACCACAGTATTAATAGAGGGCTGTAGGTAGGATGACTTTTTATACTTATGTGCAGCTATTAAATGATTTTAGATCAAATAAAAAGGCCTTTACGGTACACAGGGTCTAACAGCTACTTCTATCTTTTATCATGGCCTCTCTGTCTATGTCCCCTCACCCAGGCCAGGTGGCACATTTCCCCTCCTCTGCTTGGCCTTTGCCCTCCAGTCTGGAGCTTTTAAGCTGCGACTCCAGTGAAGCAACTCGTGCCATCAGTTCCTGCAGCTCCCTGCTGGGCTTGGACACCGAGCGGACCCCTTGGGTGTCTGACATCCAGCCTTCATCCTCTTCTACACCGCTGGGGGCCGGTGACGTCTCAAAGGCCCAGTTTACCTAGAAGGTGAGGATAAAATGTGCATCTTTGTTAGACTTAAAGCTCACCTATTATGCGATTATGCACGCAGGCAAACAGTGAGGTCTGCTCTGCTCAGATACAGCTAAAAGCTGCCGTGATTAAACGCCATCATGTTCCAAACCACATCAAGGATTATTTCTGAAACAGTATGGAGCCCAAATACTTTTTCTCTTGCAGGTTTACCACAAGGTGAGTTCCTTTTTTAATTTCCTGCTTTTTTACACACTCTCTCCAGTACAGGTTAGCTCTGAGTGTTAGCGATGCTTGCTAATGTAAACACAGACCATATTACTTCCAAAACACGTCAGGCAATGTTTCCGATAGCGACGTTTCTGATAGGGCCGTGGGCGTAAAGCCAGCCCACATTTCCGATATTATGTAATATCGGCAGCAAATCTGGATCAGCTCCGTTGACCCCTGATTTTTGAGATTTGGGTACGGAGGAAAAGAGAGAGGGTTTTGTTTTCTAACACTTTGTGAGTTTCCTGACACACCGGGGACAAATATTTATGTATAAAAGACATCAAAAAGTGCATTTTGCATAAGAGGGGACCTTTAAATACTCCTGAAAGACCATGTAGAGTAGCTGGTTAATGTTACAGTAGCTTGTTATTGTTCCAGTACCTTGCGGGGGGTTCTCTCCAGGCTGGAGGCGTAGTCGCTGGTGGTGGACAGGGAGCGGACTCGCAGCTGCAGCCCCCGGATCACCTTGTGGCAGCGGGTCAGCTGAGAGCGGAGATCCTGGACGAGATGCTGCAGAGAGGCGGACTCATCGCCCATTTCATAACCATCTGTGTTACTGCTGCCAGCGTACCAGCTGCCGCCCCCACCCTCGTAGTCCTGCTGATTGGACAGTGATGTGCACATCTCCAGGTCATCAAACTCTGAAGGAGGGAGAGAGAGATGTAGGATTATTGAGTGTATTTGCAGGAGAGAACATGGGGTGTTTATGTTGGAGGGGAATGTGTTTGTCACCTGGGCTGCTGGCGTCTTCTCTCTCTGCTTCGTTCTCACTACGACCACAAGTCTCGTACCCCAGATCCTGGAGGTCCACCTGCACCTGCTTATTGGCCTGCTGGACGGATGTCTCGGCTGCCGAGACAAGGGAAATAAATAACTTCACTCTCAGAGTTTGATTAAGGTTTTGAGCATGTGTTTGTTCTTCCATGTGTCTAATAACACTTCTTCATGAGTGTTCCTGAGAGTGACTCACTGAGCAGATCTCTGTAGTCCTTCAGTTGTTCGGCCTGAGCGTGCACCGTTGCCTCGGACACCATCAGCCTCTCCTGCAGCTCTCTGTTTTCTTGGTGGCTCACAGCCAGATTGGAGCTCAGGCGGGACGCTTGTTCACGAAGACCCTCCTCTATATCCTGCCAGAGCACTCCCACCTCACTGCTGTCACCAGGAGGCTCCACTTCCTGCAACAGCAAAGGGTTTAAGCAACTCTGATTTGTAATACACAAAAAGGATATCACAGGTACGTCATTTTAACATGAGAAAATACGTTTTATTTGACATGCTTATTATACAAATAGCAGAATTTACTGAAGGCACAGCGGGATGATCTCACTTATATAAACAATCATGAGACTAAAATAACAAAACACCCGCACACAGAGCCTGTGAATGGAGACCTGGTGATGAGAGCAGGAGGGCAGGGCCTGGAGGCAACGCTGCTCCAACACAGTTTACTGAAATACTTCTTGAAACCAGCAATGAGATTGCTTTGGTTACAGAGGTGGGGCATAACTTGTGTTAAATCCATCTGGTGTCTGATGTTTTTTACCAAAGTATCGTTTGACATGCAAAATATATTATGAGCTTTAAAACCAGATTAATTTTAAATAACAAATAGAAGTTTCAACCTGGATTATTGACGATTTTATACTCTTTCATACAGCTTTTTCATGCCTTCGTTGTTTTACGATATTTTCTTCTTATTTGAGCCCCTTTTCCATTACCAAGTATAATATTGTTTGACATGTTTCTCTCTTAATAGTAAAATCATTTTCAGATTTGTTGAAGGAGAGATAAAAAAAACTTTTTTTTTTTACATACATTTTTGTTACAATGTACCACAAAATACCTCAATAATAAGCATATTTCATGCCTATCATATTCACTTTCAACAGACTTGTGCTTTCTACCTTTATTGGAAAACCCTGAAAATCTTTAACGCCTCAGAGTTCAAATAATCTGAATAAACTTTGCAGCAGCTATATATATAAATATCTGAGATAGATAGTTACAAGCTGCTGCAGTAAATCACTAAAAGTGTGATTCTGTTGTTACCGTCTCAGGCTGTTGTGTGTGATGAGGGGTGGTCAGACAGCGCGGCCTCTTGCAGTCCCTCTTTCCATGGTCGTCACTCAGACTGACACACAGATGACCACGCTTCCCTGCCGGCACCGGAGATGTTTCCTCCTCCTCTTCATCTTCTTCCTCGATATCCCAATCCTCTTCTTCTTCTTCCTCCTCCTCCTCCTCTTCCTGGTTCAGTCCTCGACTGTCTTTCAGAGCTTGCTTCTCTTGCTGTAGACCCTGCAGTGCACTCCTGGCAGATGACGGGAAGAAAGACAAAAGTTGAAAGCAAGATCACTATCACATTTCTTGCTCCATACATGCAATAATGTCGAGTTTCAAGTGATCAGCAAACAAATACGCACCTCATCTGAGCTACGGAGTTGTATCCATCCCTCTCCAATTGTGACTTTATTTCTTTAAGCTGGACTTCAAGTGTGTTCTTTGCGTCCTCAAGCTGCTTCACATCAGACACCAGCGCGCTTGTCACACCCTCAGCTCCACAAACCTTAACACATGTCAAAAGAAATATATTAAATTATGTATGTGCAACTGTTTAAGTAATCAACGGCTTTCTCCAAGGTTAAAATAAGTAAGAGATCCATAAATATCGGGTTACAAACATCGATCTAAAGGGATTTAATATTCAAATGTTCATAAAAGTATCTTACCTGAATGGAGGCCAAACTTCTGGCTGTCACTTTTTCATCATCCTCTATGCTGTCAGTGAACTCGTCACTGCTGCCTTCTTCATCATCTCCCTCCTCCTCCTCCTCCTCCTCTGTGCTGAGCTCTGGAAAACACAACAACCATATAAGCACAAAATCCACCTTTATTACCCCCTTTGTTTATCTCTTAATCCTCTGTTCCACTTCTTATTCTTACTATTTGTATGTTCCTCCCTCTCCTGTATCCACTGTCGTGTCTACCCCATTATCTCTCTTTGTACGCTGAATCCCTTGTTTGGAAGTCATGGGACTAAAGGGAAATGCTTTGTCATACGTTGCCTGCCACCCAAAAACACACTGGAGGCAGAACAACCGGGAGGGGAGTGTGTATGTGTTCAGAAACTATGTAAATGGATATATATACTATATAATATTATACATTCACACAAGTGTTGTGGTGATTTTGGGCTTAATACTGAGTATGTATGATGCATGTTTACTGTTGTGTGTTAAAGTAAGTATACATGAAAAAGAGGTATCAGTGGAAAGTGACTGACAGGGACTTTAAAGGAATATTGTATAACATAATAGGCCCTAATGACACACACACACACACACACACACACACCACACTTGGTATCAGTCGATTTGTGTATGGGTGTGTAAGTTAAGTTGCTTGGTGCATTTTTGGGGGATTATTGGATTACTTAAAATCACATTTATGAAATATCTTTTTGAGATGGCAAAAGGTTCATGGAGCTACCTGCTGGGTTATTATATATTGTACAACAATGTGCTCTGTAAGCTTAAGTGACTGAATGTGGGGCCCTGTTTACACACTGTGGCTCTACATATTGTCACCACTCTCATACTACAAACATATAGAAAAGGACACACTGTGTTTCTTTGTCATTTCAACAAATGTGGATTTCATGCTTTTTTTCAGAATGTCAGTAGAAGGGCTCACATGAGTTTCCCTTATTTAGTGAATCGGGCATTTTAGTGTTGTGAATATCCAATAGGGCATTACAGCAGGACAGCCATGCACACATGAAAACCATGCCACATCATGCATGAGGACGGACATGAGGGAGAAACACTCAATTGGATTAGAAATGTCTGCTGATTTACATTATAGTTTCATGTTCATACTGAATCTGTTGACACATTCAGATATTTTGGATATATAAGAAAACACATGTTATAAATGTGTTGAAATATTTTTCAACACATTTATAACATGTGTTTTCTTATATAAGTAAACTAAATATACTCGGGGGCTGGGTTGCATAGGATTGGTTCGGATAGATAACAAACCGTGGGTTGATCTTTGGGGAAGGAAGGAAGGTCTATAAGGGACCAAATAGGGGAATTCAGAGTTGGGATATTATAAACACAAATTCCCAATTAAACACAACAAACAGAAGTGCTTTTGACAAAAAGCCAGCCCATTTTTTTTATTTCTGTTAAATTAAAAATACAAAAAGTTTTGACAAGAATTCCATCTCTGAGGCTAGATGAGAGATCAGGGCACATATCCCAGAAAATGAACTCTACCAAATGTAAATATTTAATGGGTAAGTATTATTTCTGGCGTTGACATCTCACGATGAATAGAGGGCACAGTCCAGACAGTAAAATGACTTGATAGTATATTATCTTGCTTTATGGCTGACATAAGTTCAACAAGCAGATCAAAACAACACAAACTAAACTAACATAATTTAAATTCATCTGCATTTTTAACATAGCTGACCGTATGTTTCATGCGTAATTAGCAGATTCAAATGTAAAGAGCAGGTCAACTATATGAGAGAAATCTTTTGGGATTACTATTTAATATTGGGCCTTGTTGAGTATGCACATCCTGTCCACAAACAGATGATATAAAAACAAATGATGGATGGGGAGACGTTTCACTGTAAGGCACGAGCTTGAGTTTCTCCACAAGACGTAACTTCACTGTGACGGTATAGGCTGGAAGAGTGACACCGGTGAGAGACAGCACACAGAAATGGCAATACAGAACAATCGCACTGCAAAGCAATACGCAGGCTGTTTTTAGAAACAATACAAAAATATATTCACACCACACAAAATATATTAATAAAAAAACTCTGGGTTGCACGTTGCCACTTCATATCAATGAGGTTAATCTGAACAGGCTTCTGCTACTTAAGTAGTGCCTGTGCTATGTGGATAAAGCTGCCTGAAGACAGAAAGTCAGATTTGATTCTTATTCTCACTTGGAGCAGAATTTCCTGATCCTATTCACTTTTCTTTGTAAATCTGACTTTCAGCGTCTCCAGGCAGCTCCAAGTCACTCAGCAGTGCTGTGGTCAGACATCACAGAGCGTTAGTGACAGTGCCCTCTGGACCCTGCCCACCTCCAAAGTCAGGCTGCCTGTTAGCTTCCCGCTCCAGCACCACGGCCATGTTACGGGTCTTGGCCAGGACCTCCTCCAGCTGTCTGCGGAGCGCCTGCACCGAGTCGAGCTCAGTGTGGAGGGCCTGGATCTTCTCAGAGCTGAGGAGAGAAAAATACTTGCTTTAACAAAAACCCAGCGACTTACTGTTTTCACCGGAACACTGGGTGCAGCGTCTGTACCTGTCACTCCTGGTGTGAATGTTCGTGAGATTTTGGTACACTCTCTTCTCCGCCCTCAAGGCATCATTCAGCTTGTTGTACTCTGACACAAGCTGCTCCAGCACACACTACATCAGAACGGCAGGCAGGGTGGAGAAGGAAGCAGACACATAATGAAAACATACTATTAACCTGTTAAGCCCCGAGCCTGTTTTTCAGGTCTCAGGCTCGAAAATGACATTCCCAGAACAAATGACCATATCTTCCCTTCTAAAAGGGATAAATTAATAATCCTTTTTCTCAAAGCAAGGTTACATCTGTGAGTTGGATGTAGAAGTGTCAGAATCAATATAGATGTTTTTATTTTAAAGTAAATTCAGATTGAACACAGTAAAAAAATGTAAATGATTGTGTCCGTCCAAAAACAAAAAATTACTTATAGTGAAAACCACCCTTGAATGATGGGATGGTAGACTAAAAGCTTTAGGAATCCAAACTACAACATATAATAAGTACCTTGTATCAAGATTGATGCAAAACAAGTTAAATTTGACCTTTTTAGAGAGATTTAGCAAAAAAAAACACTTCTGGGGTCATTTGGGTGAATTTGACCTATCTCTGGCCCCCCTTGCTCGATTTTGCTGATTGACATCTCTTTCTAACCACTAGAGCCAATGGAATCGAGGGGAACTCCCACATACTCCTTATTTGGTAATGTGTGTGTGTGAGACTGACGCATAGCCAAAACCGGAAGCTGCAATAACTCTGGTGGCTACCATTAGCAGCTAACTTTTACTCTCCGATTTTTACATAAAAATGGAATTATGTATTATAAATAAAAAAAGATTATTCCAGAGAAACATTATCAACCTATGGATTAACCGATTCAGCTGCGTTTTTTCTCGTTTTAATGCCATTGAACAAGTCTTTTGATCAGATTGACAGCTAAGGTGAGACGATCTCCCGTAAAAGCTACGTAAAGGTACGTGTTGTGATGTCTGTGTTTGCTTCCCCTGTCAAGAGTTCGGATCACTCAGTGATGATATATATACCTAAATAATCTGTGGAACCTCAGCTTTAATCGGATATCTTGTAAGTGCAGCTACGATAAGTAATAAGGGTATCTTTTATCTTGAGTTCCGTGCCAAAGTGCGTTAGCATTTTTCGCTCAGGGGTCATTTAGATGCTTCTTATGAGACTTTTGTTTTGGTAAAAATGGTTTGTATCGTCAGTTAGCTGAGATTATTCTCGTTAATCTGGTATAACACATTAATAGGTTCTTAAATATTAAGATGCCCTGAGACACAGTGTCGTGAAAAAAAAAAAAAACGCCCCCGCCGAGGGGGGCTTTATTAAGCCGCATCTTCACACACTGTTTAATCTGTAGAGAATAAGGCCAATTCCTACTTGGTGATCAGTGATGTCCTGGTGAGCCAAAGATGAACGCAGAGCAGAGAGCTCCTCCTGCAGGGAGAGGGCACAAGTGAGTTAAAAAAAGAGGGGGAAAATATAGTTGTTATGCATCACCAGAGGTTCCACATACTGTATATACCTGAGCCTCCTTCTCCTTCTTGACTACCAGCTGCAACTCCTCCTGTAAAGCCGTCATCTCGTCTTCCCTGTCTGTGGAAGATGGCTGCATGGACTCCTCCTGGCTCTGCATCAGCTCCTGAGGAATAAAACATACTGTTCAGATCAAATGAACAGGAGAGAAAGGGAGAAAGCCAAGGGAAGCAAACAAACATGTACCTTGATGAAGGCTTCTTTCTCTTTGAGGAGACTCCGCAGATTCTCCGTGTCTCCTTCAGTTTCCCTCTCCTTTTCCTGGTTCAGCTTGCACAGCTCTTGCTCTCTGGAGGACAGGTGTCGGCGAAGCTCCTGCAGCTGGCCGCTCCGCTCACTGATCACAAGAGAGAGCCTGTAGGAGGAGTCCTAAAGAGAGAGGGAGATATCAGGTTAGCCTCAGGTTATTTTTAAACTTTCAATCTGCAGTTTGCTCGGTAGTGATTTATATACCTGCAGATACTGGTCTTTGGAGCTGAGAGTGTTCAGCATGTCCTGGACCTGTGCTCGGTGTTCACTAGACTGGCGACTGCGGTCTGACAGCAGTTCCTGGAAGAGCTTTTCTCTCAGCGCCAGCCGCGCCTTCAACTCCTCTACAACCTCAGTTGGACCGGCCTGAACTCTGGCAACAAGGGTGGCTGTCAGATCCTACACACACACACACACACACACACACACACACACACACACACACACACACACACACACACACACACACACACACACACACACACACACACACACACACACACACACACACACACACACACACACACACACACACACACACACACACACACCACACACACACACACACACACACACACAACACAAAACAAGCCTCGTCAACACCTGTTGTGTTTGAGAAAGTCAAAACAAGCAGCACAGGTTTGTCTACATGTTCTGTTTTTTTAAAGCTTCAGGCATTGCCATCACAATAAGGGCAATACATGAGAGAGTGTGTGTGTGTTACCTGTGCCTCCTGGCTGTGTGTCTGCAGAGCCTCCTGTAGCTGGCTGATGATGGAGTCTTTCTCTCTCAGGGTGTTCCTCTCCTTCTCCTCGCTCTGCTGCTTCAGCCACTGGAGGTTCCTGTAGGCCTCGGCCGCCTGCTCCAGCTCCAGATCTTTACCGCGCACCAGGGCGTCCAGACTCTGAAGTTCAGTCACAGGTGGAAACACACCAACAAATATTATTCCTCATATTTGTCTAAAATAAAAACAGAATCCACAATTCCTCTTCCTGCTCAGCCAGGAGCTTTATGACCAAAATCAAGCGTACCGTGATGGTCTCCTCGTTGTTGGACAGGATGCAGCGCAGTCTCTCCAGGTCTCGCTCCTTCTCCCTGAGGGCGAGCTGCAGCCTCCTCACCTGGCCCTCGCGCTCTTCCACACAGCGGAACTTGTCATCGATGGAGCGCTGCAGATGGCGGAGGAGGAAATATATTTTGTAATCACACTGATGCTATTCTGGGCACCCTGTACTGTGATATTCAGGAGCAGGTGTGCAATATTTGAAACTCCTGCTCCTTCTTTCACACTGCCATAGGGATGCAACAGAACAGTTAATGTTGGTTGGTTGTGAAATGTAATAATGATTTATCTATGGCACTTTCGACTGTTGCAAGATGCATACTTATGTCTTTTCTCTCCGTAGTATACAGGGATGACTGTCGTATTGATAACAAAGTCTACATGGAGCCGTAGTTTGGGGTCATCTCACTATTTATACCGAGCTGACATTCATTCATGTCCCTGCTGTGTATATAAATGTGCATGTGTGGGTGTTTACCTCCAGAGCTCGGTCTCTATCTGTAATACGCTCCCGTAGTTTCTCCAGCAGGGCATCTCTAGGTTTGGAGCTTCCTGTGGACTCCATCATCTCGGAGTACTCCTACAGATACAACGATTTTTAGAAAGGATCAGAAATGTGAAACTACATATAGTATGAAACGATTGATTGGGATTGTGTACATTACCTGTAGCTGTTGCTCCTTGTCCTGCAGAGTGTGTTTGAGCTGTGCGATGCTCCTCTCCTTCTCCTGTAGCCCAGTGTGTCTCTCTGCCTCGGCCTCCTTCAGAGCTGCTTCTTTAGCCTGAAGCTCAGAGCGAGTTTTCTGAAGGGCGCATCGCAGATCCTGCAGAACAAAGAGGAGAGGTCACACATGCTGCATCCTTCAAACTGCCAAGACCTCTCTCACCCTCACACATTGACAACACTTACCTGGTTGTGCTTTTCTGTGACCTCCCTGTGCTGCTGCGCCTCCTGTAGGTCAGAGTTGAGTCTGTCCTTAAACCTGGACATATCTTCTCCTTGTCTCTGGTTCTGTCTCACACTCCTCTGGCTGGCCTCCAGCTCCAGCCCGAGGGAGAACAAGGAGCTTTGCACTGCCAGCAGCTCGCCCTGCAGCTGGGCGAGCTTTACGGACTCACGGACCCCCTCTGGAGTCTAAAGAATGAGGACACAGAACCAGTTCAGTACGTCATAAGGCTGGAGACGAGATTTCTCACTATTGATAAGGAATGATCCTGGATCAGGGTTTGTGCCACGTCTCACCTTGCATTGAGTAAGCTGGTTGCGATGGATCATATCTCTCAGCTTACACAGAGTCGAGTTCTGCCCCTCCATCAGCTGGTATAGCTCTTGGGCCTTAACGCAGAATAAATCAGGGGTATGAGAACCTTTTCAAACTCAGGTATCATCTCACACAGGCTGACAACATATACAAACACTAACCTCACTGTCCTTGGTGCTGATGGACTCTGAGAGACCCTGAATGGTTCTCTCCTGACTCTGAGCAGCCTGGCGGATTGAACGCAGCTCACACTCCATCTCGTGCAGCTTCTCCTGCAGCTTCTACAGACAGAGAAAGGTCACTGTTACCTTATGTGGATTCATCAAGCCTATTTCATTATAATGAGGCATATTTTTAATGAGACATACCATGTTGTTGGCCTCGCTCTCATGGATCTTGGCCTGCAGGGATTGGACCTGGAGCTGGGCCTTCTGCAGCTCTCTGACACACTGCCCGGCCGCACACTCATACTGGTTCAGTTGACTCTGCTGCTCCTCAACGAGGCTCTGTAATGAACAGGAAGGGATGTGAGTGTTTCAACTTATAAAAACCACTCACTTGCTCATTAGTCTTCTCAATAAATCCAGCAGCTGAATTATTTGTGTGCAAGATTATTTGTTTGTCGTGAGAAAAACAGAGGGGTTGTGTACCATGTGTACAACATTTACAAACTCTGATCATTCATGTGTGTACTTTGTAAAAAGCCATGTCGGGGAGAGAGCTTCTAAAGTGGTGTGTGGCAGGTTGCATGCATGAGTTAGCACAAGGGAGCATGATCAAAGAGCTCTGTGCCACTATTATCTTTACATAACCTTGTTTCCAATGTTCACTTACTAGAGGAAGGATATCAATAAGACACACTGACCTATGCTTGATTTCACAAGATCCTAAGTTGTTTAATGCATTTTTTAGAACCGTAAATGATTATGTTGACATTTTTAAATAAGGTTATTGAACTAGCCAACCACAGTTGAGATGGAAGAATGGTCTGACAATGTGTGGATCATTTAGCCTCAAGGGCTCAGAGTGAAAATAGGCCAGTAGTGGAGTCACTTTGTCTTAATGTCTCCCCACATCTAACCTACTTCGGGTGCAGCCCTGGCAGAGATCACGCAGAGACAAATGCACACTCTATCCAATCCAAAAACTATTGTTGAGGATTATTGGCTTGAATGTTTTAGTATTGCACACACGCAAATGTTGTCCTCACATAATTAAATCACACAGATAAATCCTGTTCTACAACGTACTCGTTTTCAACAGGAAAAACCAGCACGCAGTTATTTGTTTGCAGGCTGTGTTCATGCTTTGGTGTATTTGGCAGTTGTGATGGAAGACACTGTACATCCTCAACATCTTAATTTAGAACCACTTAAATATATAAGCTTCACATTAAAATTATAGATATTTACACTTGCTAAAGGGTCAAACATGACAGTGCTTGTGCTTGTACACTCCAGTGTTTCCCCTACCATCGTCTTGGTGGGGCGCTGCACCCTGCCAACGGAGCCCAGTGCCCCCCCTGAAATTCAAACAATTATTTAAAAATAATAATTAAAAAAATAAAAATAAAAAACACCTTGAATTTCAGGGGGGGGCACTGGGCTCCGTATTATATATATATATATATAGCACCACATTGTAACTGAAGTAATCTATCTACGGTCAGTTTTCACATTGAACATGTGCTCTTTTATTAAATAAACTAAACACTTTCATTTTAAGTTGTGAGTTTAGTGTTTTTGAACCTAAGAAACACTGATGCATTAATCAATAACAATAATCCACAGCTCCTCTCTCTGCTCCAGAGAATTAAAAAAAAGATATACCCCCCCTCCCCCCAAAGCTGTAAACCTAGGGGAAACACTGCACTCCCATACACACGGTAACTAGGCCATGTGTTGTGTCACAGCTTACCCTCACCTGACTGCTCATGTAATGTTTTCCCACATATAGCCAATTAAGTGCACACACACACACAAACCCACATCTACACACAAAAGCTCAAATCTTCCTGTGTAAAAGCTTGTTGGAGAAGCTGTGGGCAGGACAATTGAGAGAAAAAAAAAATAGTAGGAATACACGTTTTGTGGGGATTGTCAGTCAAACATCAAAGCGTGTTGGGTTGGTTCACTCATTGTGCTGCAAATTCTGCAAACTTGCAGTGCATGGGCGAAATGATGATTCATCATCCAGCAATAGTGAAATCCCTGTATTAATCACCATCACTGTCGAGGTTTATACCTGGTGAGGACGTGGGGAAGGATATTCTTTGTACAAATCTTCCAACAACTCTTGCATGTTAGCCAGGTTCAGATCCTGATCAACCAGCCTGATCACAGGGGTCTCCAGCTCAGGAGTTGGCGTGTGGTCATCTCTTTCTCCCTCTGGATTCCCAAATGACATTCCCAGAACTGGATCAGGGAAGCAGAGTCTATGACCTCCATTACTGGAACTGCGTTGGAGCACTGGCAGCTTGCTCCTCTTAGAGCTCAGGACTGGCCGGTAGGCAGCATAGCTCTGCAGCAGACAGAGAGCCAGAGAGAGGCTGGGGCCGGGTGAGGCTGGGCCAGCTGGGGCTCCCATGTGCTCCTCAGAGAGGGAGTCAGATATCCGGTCATCTATAAGTTCCCTAGGGGAGCTCAGCCGCCCATCTGTTATGGCTCCAGACTGAATATATTCCTCAGTCAGCTCTAAGGATGCTACAGAGGGGCTGGAGCTGGCTCTTCCAGCCAGGGTGCGTTCACTGTCTGATGTCCTCGAGGGGTCCTGAGAACCAGGAACCAGTGTTAAAGAGGGGGGTTCTTCTGAATCCTCCACATTATTTTGTTCTCGTTCTCCCCCACCTCCTACGGTCACACTCCCTCCAATAACACTGGCTGAATATCTGGATGACGGGCCGCAGGAAATACTCCGTGCCAGCTTCCTGGGCACCTTACAAACAGCTTCATAGTCAGAGTCGGCCACTCGCCAGTAGGAACATCCGCGACACTTCCTGGGAGTGCTGGGAACACAACGCTGTGAGCCTGTGACTGTGACCTCTGACCCTGGACCAGCAGGAGGGTGTTGGTGGTGCTGACAGTCTATGCCTTCGTCGGCCCAGGACTCGTACAAAGAGTAGACCAGATCGTCCTGGAGCAGGGAGCAGTACTTTGCATGAGTGAGGCCTGAAATGTCCACCATTCCATCTCCAAGTTCTTCATTGTCTCCAGATGTTACAGCACCTTCTTCTGAGTTTGTTTTCCGGTAGAGCCCGCCAATGCACTGCCTGAGCCGGTGTTTCTCCTGCAGGAGCCGCTGCAGCCTCTCAATGGACAGGGCTTCCACACGGGCGATCACGGTGTCGAAGCGATACATGCGGTCCAGCATGAAGGTGCACTTGGAGCAGGCAAACTCCCCTCTGCCGTCCCGAGTCAGCTCTTGCCCCAGAGCGTGAGACAGCAGCACTTGCAGGTTGAGCTTGGGGGTAGGATGGAAGATCCATCGACGCTGGTTACCGCAGAGCTCCCGTCCACAGATGCGACACACTTCCTTCATCTTGAGATCAAGCATTCCACAGGTTTATAATTATCCTTATTTACTCTGACACAAGGACACCTGAGTCCTTAGGATGCATTTGATCCCATAGGAACACAAAAGAGCAGTGCTTCAAGCTGCATTAGACTGAACCTTTAATGCATAATAAAAGCTGTTTTCATCTGAAATAATGTAAAGCTGCTGATGAAATTAGTCCTTGCAATGGCATTACATTCAATGGTTTATGAAATGAGGTAGACAATATATGCTTGTAGAAAAGGGTTTCACATGAAATCCTTGGCAGGATCAATAAATACTGTCTCTGTCATTAAAAAAATATCCATCAACCCAGGATAAGCATTCATTTGCTGAAGGTGCTGCAGGTGCGTCGGGAATATGGCGCACACCCCCGTAGCGAAGTCATGTGAATGTCTCGTCAATCAGATGCAGTAGTATCTGTCTTGGTATCGTCCTCCCGCTGTCACACAATCCTTCTTTCTCATTGTCCAACAGACCCTCACGCTCTTCTGCACCATCAGTCGGGACACACGAGCCGCACCGCGCGCAGTCAGGTTAATAATGACTCGGGGAACGGTAATAATCCGGAAACCAACGGAGAGCAGTATCAGTCGCGCCGGTACAGTCTTAGGAGTCTCTCCCTGGTATCTTTGTCCATAGAAAGTACTCTTTCATTCATAACAGAGCCTTTTCTGACAGCTCGAGAGGCAAACACGCGCTCTGCGGGATAGGTGCCGCGTTCGGTCGGAGATCCTCCGGGCTGATAACGATGTGGCTGACTGAATCAGACCTGCAGCGGTGGAGCAAACCATCCAGAGAATACAAGGGGTGGAGAAACATGATGCAGCCATACAGAGATGCTCACGGTTTATTATCCTCTATGATGAAAATTCCAAACAACAATAATTATTTTTGAAACACAAAATGATATGGAAACACTAATCATTAACTTTTTAAGGGGCTTTTGGTAAAGAGACAGAGTGATTATCCCCTGGGAGTCTTTGACTTCCTCCTGCCCAGTTTACTAAGCTCTGTTCGCCTGACTGAACAGGTGAAATGCTCGGTAGCATGGTAACATTAGTGACGCTCTGTAAAATTAAAGAGTAGACTCTATTCTAGTCTATTTGTATCTTATTCAAATTGTAATGGGTATGACTGTACAGTTTTGCTATATTATGTTGTACCCCGTTTACAATGTAAGTCTATAACTATACTATAAATGGCTTTAAACTACAAAAAACAATTACATTAAATCACTTTTATTCTCTGTTATATTTGTATATTTGTATACATGTTTTTTTAACTGCATATCCTCTATTACAACTACTGCCTGTCTTCTATTAAGTAGTAGATGGTAGTGGAATTACTCTAGGCATTTTTAAGACATGACTGTTTATTTATTTATTTGTACATTCATTATTTTAAAAGGCATGACAAAGTATTATTGCATAATTAAAAAAAGAACATCCTTAGATCCATTGGTAGTAAAGCTCACTTAGTTGAACGCAAACTTACTGAGCTTTCTAAATGCTATTTTAAAAGTAAAATCATACTGGGGTTTTGTTCTTGAATAGCTTCCTCATCAGACCAGTGTAACTTGTGTCAAAGTCAAAACATGCTCCTGGCTCAATATATTTATAACTTGTATTTCTTGTTGCTGTGGTGCAGATATCTTCAAACAATGATTTGACTGTGTTAGTCAAACAACCGACCCTTTCTCATGCATTTGACTGGGCATCTCTGCAGTATCTCTGCAGTGACCACCATTTTTGTTTTTTCCGAGGGTGCACAAAACAAATGGTCTTGCTGTCACGCTGCAACTTCCCTGCAGATACGCAGTGCAAACTCTCCCGTTGACTGTAGATATATTTTCATCATCAAAGCAGTTCTATTGCTTCAGGACAGAGTTCAGATCCTGTGCCCCCTTGTTAGTGTGAAGGTCAGTGTAGACCCTTGTGTCTGCATCAAGATCATGATTGCTGATTCTGTCAAAGTAAACTCAAGCTTCAGTTATTTTCAATAAATTGTCTTGGCTGTTTAGTGAAATTGAAAGATCCTGGAAATAATTGTCTTAAGAGGTTTCAGATGACATTTATTTCCTGCCTCTTCCTTTCCCTTTCCAGACAGATTTGATCTTCGGCTGTGGTGTCTGGGGAACTAATTAAGAGCTCTTGTTGTGAGTGTCTGTCTGAACCAACACAACTTGATATCAGTGGTGGGGTCGCTGAGCACTCAAAGGTCAACCTGAAATATCGACAACCAGGCTGAAACCAGAGCCGCTAAACTGCTAACCAGCGAGATGCCTCAAACACGCACATATGAAAGATGGCACCTCATGGGCATGGACACACACACACAACACACACACACACACACACACAACACACACACACACACACACACACACACACACACACACACACACACACACACACACACACACACACACACACACACACACACACACACACACACACACACACACACACACACACACACACACACACACACACACACACACCTCTGAGTTGATGCAAATTGACTCTATATGTGCTCTCATTGCTGTGCACACATACTGTAAGCACCACCAAAAAACAACTGTCCCCTCCCTTTGCAAATGCTCTGTGCATTGATTCATAAACTTGCATTCAATAATTTTACTTTAAATTAAACCCTCCCAAAACATCCCCTCCTTGTTGTTCTTATTTCAAGGCTGTGTCTTTTCTTATCTATATAGACACAAAATACTGCACATAATATGCAAATGAGTTTTTAGAAAGAAACTATCCCACAGTGTGACCACAGTGTACGAGCCACACACTCACACATGCATCCAGTGTGAAATCTGAGCAGCCTGCCTGGCAGGGATCATTTGCATCATTCATCCACCACAACTGATTTACAAGTTAAAACTTCTTACATAGCAACAACAAATACTGCGATCCATTCACGGTATTGTCAAAAAACATTAAGCAACGTTACAAAGCACCGGAAAGATTAATAATCAAGCCAACTAAGGTTATAATCATTAATTTATAGAACTGCAAATTGATAGTAAAGAAGGTGGGCTGACTTGAAGGAAATGGTCCCCCTCCATTATTGTTTCATTAGACATCAGGGCAGACATGTGTCCTTGGGGATGTCTGTAAATGTAATGAGGTTCTGGCACTTTCAATGATGAGATAATCCATCTGCAAGATACTTCACTGAGAGCATCACATGGTGCTCCATCCATCGCAGTATAATAATAATAATAATAATAGATTCATTTTGTAAGCGCTTTTACAGTGAAAAGAAAAGAACAACAAATAAATATGGTTATTAGTCAAATTATAATCAAGCAATACAACAACAATCACACATTAAGAGACAGATTGAAGAGGTGAGTTTTTGTACGTTCTTTGAAGGTGGTGAGGTCAGTGCAGTCTCTGATGGGTATTACAGTTAAGTCTTTGCCTCAGTTTGTTCACTTTCTAGGAACATTTATTAACACATTTCTGTGTTTTTGCCACTGTGGATGACATCACACCACAGGATCTTTTTAACTTACTTTTACCCATCACTTCTGATACAGAGAGTAGCGCTATTGATTTCTAACCTTTTGATTTGTGCATTGAACATTTTGCAGAGACTGTATGTCGATAACATTTTGAATACTGAACAAATGTTACCAGATTTTGCTCCTTTTTGTTCCAGATCCTTGGTCATATTCCACTTTTTCTGATTTCCCTCCTTTCTTCCATTAGGACATTTACAAATGATTCATACATGTGTCATGTTGCATCTACAGACGTCAGCTTCTGTGTGAAAATGCTATGCGTCGCTTGTCCATAAGGAGGCAGAGTGGGTCTGATATGAAACAAGGAGATCTGTGATGCTGTTCTGACACTTAGTGGAGAACTCTATAATGACATGTGAAGTTGCATAAACAAAAGAGCTGCACACATACCTGCATCTCCTGTTCGATGCGCAGCCTCTCTTGACCGAGTTCCTCCTGATAAAACTGTAACAGAGGATACAGACAATAAACCTACTGTACTCATATTCACATTTAAAAAAATACATATTATGTATATATACATTATTAGGATTACACACAGAAAAAAATAATCCTTCACAGAAATATTAAATCCTTGATGACTTCATACTCTTGTGACCTACAAAGATAGCTGTTAAGATAAGGTTGAGGAATGTCACATATGTTGCTTCAGGACTCTTTTTAGAATACAAGTCTGACAAGAGGAGACATGGTGGCCCAGAGGAATGCAGTATTATTAGAAAGCTCTTAAAAAAGTGTGCAGGGTTTGCCTGGATGGTTATCCCCACTTACATGCCTTTAATGTGTTGTCAGTAGTATGTGTAAATGTATTAACATTAGCATTTTTAGTTTTTTAGAAGGTTAAAGTTAAATCACATTGAAATTGTGCCAATACTAAGCTGAATGCTTTAATATTACGTACTTTTTATCTATTGTTTTCTATTAACTCATATTGTTATTTACTTTGTTTTTGCTTATTTTAATTATTGTCTTTCATAATAATCGTTATTGTGCTTAAGCATGCCATTAAAGCCTATTGAATTCAATTGAGTTGGAAATTGACTGGATGTTTCGTGTTAGAACTAAAATGTAAACATACATCCACATCCTTGTCCTTCTGCAGCAGAGAGGAAGACAGCTCCTGAACTTGTCCCTCCAGCTCGTCCACCCTGAAGGTGAGAGTCGTCTTCTCCCCGCTCAGCTCGGTGATGAGCGCCTCCTTGGAGCAAAGCTCTTTAGTCAGCTCCTCTATCAACCTGATCACACACAGATAGAAACAGTGAGGCAGGGAGGTGGATTTGGACTGTTCGATAATGTTGGTGGTGGAGGCTGAGAAAGTGTTTTGCACCTGTCTTTGTTGGTGTTGAATGGGGACAGCAGGCTCGGAGGCCTTTCGTCCTCTGGGATGTCCTCCATGGGTGTGTCAAGGGAGCGGAGGGAGTTGTGGGACTGCGATCCAGCCAGCGAGGCCATCCTCTCAGCCTCGCTGTGTGCTAGCTGGGCTTCCTGGAAAAGTACATACAAAAACCATTATGGTTTGTAAATCTGAGGCACCTGACTGTGTGTCAGTTCTCGCTGTAGGGGAGAGAGGACAAACCTCCTGCAGGAGCTGAATCTTGGTCTCAAGCACTTGCTCCATGTGGTCAATTTCTTGCTGTCTCTCCCGACAGCGTCTCTGCAGCTCTGCCTCATTGTGATTGGTCAAGCTCTCCGCTGTTGTGCTGTTTAACAGGGGAAAGTGATTTGATCAGAGGGTATTGCACTAAATACAGCCAAAAACAACTCAGTGTATGTGCACATTCAAAGATAGCAGAGGGGTTAGCATTGCACCATGACAGAGAGTGGAGAAACAATGATGTCTTCACTTTCCTGTCTGCTACAGCGCTCATGGGATACCCAACCCCCTTCCACTTATAGCAGAGATGATATAGTAGTAAGTTGCCTCACCCATGCAGTAGGCTTTTATTATTGAGGTTAGTATTATTCACAAAGTCTGATAGTGGTGAAAGGCTCATCATTGATGAATTAATTCATCCTTTATTTTGACCCGGGAATATATTAGGATGATATTATTATCTTTAATATCCCTTAGGATAAAAGTGACATAAGCATTAGATCGTTGTGCAGGTTGTCCGATGTTGCAGGTGCACAATGCGAGAAACTGGACTTTCCAAGCTCAGTAAAAAGCGGCTGGTGTATGCAACATTACAATTACAAAGAAATCATGTGAGCGTGTTACATAAGAGCACACACTGAAAGACAACAAAATCTTATGCAATACAATATAAAAAATAGAGGGCCTGATACAACTTTAAAAGTATCATGCCTTACAGAGAGAGACGGTCAAACTCTGACCAAGGTCACAGCGGAAGCAAGCATATATATAATGTCACCATAATCCTGATAGGAAAGTATCCTCAAGAAGCAGCAGTGGATGCAATTGTTTCTTTGCATTCTTGTTTCATGATGTAAGTGTTCCCCTCACTCCTTCAGAACCCCAACTGTGTGAGCATCTGTCTTTATTACTTAGTCAACGACGCTCTCCCAACATTTCTGCTCCCAGAATGGCTCACGCCGCTCTGTCGCCATGAGTCCTGTCCCGGGCCCTGTCTATGTACGTTTTTAACTCCGTCCACCGCATGCTACAGCTCAAATAACTGGGATATTTTGAACCAGTCTGAGTAAAGCAAATGTCTGTCTCATGGACAAATGTTCTTTATGTGTAGTGGACAACAGCCAGCATATCTGAGCAGCATAAGTAACTTTGGTCAACAATGCAAATAATTCAAACTACAGAGAAATGCTGCAAGGCTAACAAATCTAGATTCAAGACACTGTCAGATGTGTAATTATATGCACACAATGTGAAAAGAGCAGGCAAGAACACGTGTCGGACAGACTGTAACAATACAACACAATGTAAAGATAGGGAGTGACAATGGCAATCAAAATAGAAAGCAGTAATAAGAGACAATCTATCCTTTCCAGGAGCACCAACAGTAAGCCAATGATGAATCACACTGATTTAAAAGGTCAACAACCCTGACCTTTAAGCAGCATCTCTGTCGATTTCAGCAGTAACGCAATGCCGGGTATTATGAAGTGTGGGAACTGAAATGCCACTATCCTTACAACCCAGGAGACCTCCACTGTCCATCAATCTACCAAACTCTGCAGCAGGTTCAAGTTCTCTACGGGGCAACATCTGTTTTAAACGTAAATATATTTATGGCATGATAGCATAAACTGGTTTTCCTTGTTTTTAAACAACAGGTAAACCTAACCATTATTAAATTACAAACTCTTCAAGCGTCAATACCCCAGTCTGTATCATCATCATGTGATATTTACCACAACAGCAGGTGTTATAGCCGGTCGAAAAATAATTATAAACAATACTTTCGTAACATCTCCGGGGTTCAAGTTGTGAGTTTGACTTGAATATCCGTAAAGTTTGTGTTTGTCCCTAATGCCTGTGTATGTGTCATCCCTATCAGCTGCTGCGTGACATAGCTGTTAGAGACATGAGGTGCTACCACAGTAAAGACAGGGACATGGAGCCTGAATGGAGGTGGACATGCACGTAAGACACATACAACTTTCAGGAGTCAAATGGGCCCACGGATAAAAATAGACTATATCCTTTTTGTTATCAAAGCCTACAATTCAAACAGGCCATTGAAGCAACTTGTTTATCCGCCTAAATAACAGTTTTTATTAAAGAATATTTAACCAAATAACATATTTAAATAAACTGATCCAAAAGGAGTTAATGAAAAATTAAAACAACATAGTAATATGATATTGTGCGGTTAGTATCAATACAAGGACAGAAGATATCTGCCTGTCTAGTCTGCCATTAATTACAGACATTACAGTGCAGAAAGGTCCTTTTATAGTGTTTTACAGTTAAGTTAAACATTCTCTTTGTTTTAAAATATCTATAATTAAAACATTTTGACACCAACATTCACACTTCAATGTTTAAATAAATATGATAAACATTTGTGTACTTACAGTGCCTTGTCCAGATGCTGCTGTTTCTCCTGGAGCTCCTGCTTCAAGCTCTCTACTTCCACCTTCAGCTCGATGTTCTGCAGCAGAGGAGCAGGGAGCAGTTATTAGTCATTATTACTCATCATAAACACACATCATCTCCTTTCAGCATAACATCTTGATAAATGGTCATTTGAATAACTATTTACATTGTGAATACTAAAGTTTAACACCGATAGTTCACACACCACCAGGTGTTTTCACTGTATTGGCTGATTTGACCTCCTCTCAAGACTATGTGGGTTGTAATCAGCCAGAACTGGAAACACCTGTGTAGGCCTATTAAAAGTAACATTTAACACTATACCATTTTCACTGTATCATTTTTGACTTGTCAGGACACGGTGCTGATTGATAAAAATGAAAAAACAGAACTGGTTTTGTGCATATATGGTATAAGAACACATTAATAAAACATTTTTTTAAGACAAAGCTTGTCATGTATTGCAGTGACTAAGGACTTTGAAGCCATGTTAGGTTCATGCATTCATGTAAATCGGGGTAATACATATATCTCATCTCTTGTGTAAATTGTGTCTGTATGTCTGTTCTGTATACCTGAGGCTATTACAGATACTATATTAAAAAAACACAGTATTGATCTGGTTCTTGAGTATTCTTGCCACCTTGTTTCTTACATCTCTTCATGACACTCTTCTCTCTCAGCAGAGTGATCAGGGTGAGAGCTGTGTACCATCAGCACTGAACATCTGACCGTGCTGTCAGTGCCGGTGTATTTTTAGAGCTGCAGAATCCAGTGCACCTCAGATAATCAACCCAGGGGCCAAAGGATAAACTCCACAGTTTGTTTACCTGCTGGGCCCACAGGGGGGATTTCTCGGCCAATCAGGGCTCTAACACTGGGCTGGGTGGACAGAGGATTTGGAAAGCAGGATTGGTGGGGCTCAATCTTTCCATTTTGATCGTGTACGTCAGGAGTACCATTTATTTCATAGTGACTCATCAGATAGCTGGTTTTAGCTTGACACGGATCAGATTGTTCACTTTCTCTTTCCCTTGATATTTATGTAGCTGCTTCTCTGTCCATGTGTCTCTCTATGTCTGCCTGTCCTCGTCTGTCTCTTCTTGAAAAGTTGTATTATGTCTTTAAGCATGTCCAAGTATGTTGACCTTACAATGTCCCTGCCAGAGAGCTTTGTGTTCCCATCACTCACACAGTTCTGGGTTACACATGCTCCATCGCACGCAGCCTGAAGCCTGCAGTGCTCATAAACATGTTGCTGAGAGGCACACTGAGTACTCAACACCAACACACTGCTGCTCACTACCCACACACACATCCATTCTGCTGGTGTGACCAAAGAACATAACACTTGCACATAAACTGGTCACGACAAGTCTGAGATTACACATTTTCACTCCTTGTAGAATGAATTCTAAGCTATTAAGTTACTTTGCATTGAAGAAAGAACAACGATATCTTATTTCCTAAGATGGTAGTATTATCAAAGTTGAAAAAGGTTGGCAGAAATGAATGAATAACAGACATTAAGTTGTGGTTAAAAATACCCTTTCTGTATTCCTCTGAGGTTGGCTGTGCAGTGCATGGTAATGACACTTATATATCTAATAACTGTATTCAGTGTTAAATATGTTTCATATAATTCTTGAATTCATAATTAGTTTTAAGTGTCTTTAAGTACATAGACACAAAGCGTAAAGCTTCAAACCAAATCTCTAATGCATTCAACTGTACCGAACTGAGTAAAGTCATTCAGCAGCAACTGGAACTTATGCAACACAAGTATTCTTCAAAGCTAATGACGGTAAATGATCACTCAAATGCTCTAATAATAAATCATGTAACACGCAAGTAGGAGGAACTTTTATTCCTGCGTGTGTATCAACAACTTGGCTTATGGTAAGAGAGACATCGTCCCATCTTGAAAACAGCGCTAAATATAGACGCCCATCACCGAGCACCTGCTATTCTGCTACCCTCCGGCCTCAGCAACAGACCCCCTAATAACCAAGCTGTGCAAGAGAAGGCTGCACTGACATGAACACAACTAACACACCTGCAACGCTGTGAATCATCTACTACGGACAGATATTATAACTTATTTGAATTGATATGTTAATGATGCTGCACATTCTTTAATAATAAACCTTGAAAATGCTCTTGTTGAATCGTTTTGTTAACATTACTGTGAAAAACAAAATGTTCAGTACAATATGCTACATTATTTTCATGCTTTGATTAATCTGCTGTTTATTTGTTTATGAATCAATTATTAGTTTGGTCTACAAACATTTGATAAAATACTGAAAAATTAAAGACCAGTTAAGTGCCACTTAATAAATACGTGCCAGTTAATAATTAAATGTAATTATTTATTTTTAGATATAATTAATTTACATTTAAAGGCCCACCACTCATCTTTCTTACTTTACTTTCAAATATTTTCTTTTACTGACTATATTTTGAAACTAAATGTAACTATTTATTCTATTTTGATGCTTCAGTATACAATCTGGCACCTTAATAACATTAAACATATTCAAAAATATGTGTTTTTATTGTGAACTAAAATATTGTTGTTGGGCTGTAAGTTGCTTATAATTTTAAAGTGTATTAATGAACTGACGTGACTGAAATGAAATGCTTTTACTCTAACAAACGATATGGTAAGGAGAAACGTAAAAACACACGTATGCATTATGATGCTTGACTTGAATCATGTCATTTGTCACATATGGACACTCGTATGAACATGTGATAAATAAGTCAGTGCACCGAGGCCTGCTCTATAAATAGAGTCTCTGCAGCTCAGAGCGAGATCACTATGTGCCCAGGACCAACACACCTAGTGTGCTATATTACACTGAATACTTTGGAGGGAGGACGGGAACACTGACACTCGACTAACAGCTCAGGTCAGATAACAACTACGGAACAAAGATTTAGTCCCCAATAAAACTGTGATTAGACCGATTAACCTTCAGCCAAACAGAGAGAGAGATTGAAGCTCGGGGATTAAAATCCACTCTGATGACGTGGGATCAGTTTACCCAATCACTGCTGGTATGCAGTAATTGTGAGGATAAGTTACTGGACTCTCAGGTCTTGTTCGGCATGATCAAAGAGATGTTGATGATCAGCAGGGATTTGAAATGAAGGCAGAGAGAAAGAGGGGAGTTTTAAATGTTGGCTGCCTCCTGTAAACAGACGACAGCTGAACCGGGTCACCTTATTGTCGGTGCAAAGTTTACACGCACACACAGAGAGACACAGACACAGTTAGAAATAACACACATGCATGACACGTACAATGAAAAAGTAGGCCATTTTAGGACTACAAGATATATCTAATTTGTTAACACTTTTTATTTTGCATTGTTAGTTTTTTGGTCAATTGTTTAATATAGAACATTGTGAAAAATGCTTGCAACACATTTCCACAAACAGCATCATATTTTCTGTTTGGTCTGGAAAGTCCAAAACCCAAATATGTGCTGAATAAGATTTTTTTTTAAAAACAGAACAAAGCAAAAACTCCTCACATTTGAAACAAGATACTGGACTTAAAGTGTTCAGTCAATAGATTGATCTATCAATCGGCCTATTCTGCAATAAAGCCAGGCAGCACAGCAGCAACAGAGTAGAGTACAGAACATACAGTAGTTAAAGTGAGTTTTTTCAATACCTATTCACATGTGTGGCCTTAGCACTAACGATGAAGTCAAACAATGTTCCCTTAGCAAGCCTCGAGGGAAATATTAAAAACTTTAAAGTTATTTATTTGGTCTCATCGATATCAACTCTCTTCCTGAAATGATAAAACCACATTTTTGCCAACATTTATATCCAACAATTTCAAAAAGTGTATCTGTTGCAGTAGCTATTGCAGCAATGAATAGAGATTGTCAGTATATCAATTGTATTAATCAGGGAAACATGTGGGATAAGACAAATACATTTAAATCGGCAACGTGTTTTCACCCTACTCAAAACAGAAAAAGAATAACGTTTGAATTGTCCCCCAAACCTTGACTGAATTTCGGGCTGACAAACTAAGAGCTGAGGTCACCTCTTGGCCTATAGCTTACTTTGAGAAAGACAACTTTCTCAAAGTAAGTCGGCACCTATCAAGAGGCACCTAACTTATCCTAGATTAAATCAAATTCAAAATTGATATTTAACTATTTAAATCAGGAAGTATTTGATAAACGCAAGGAAGATCTTCTCCCAATGATGGCTGATACCCAACATACATAATACGTTCAGTATCAGCAGCAGTACTGAGCCAGTGTATCAGCTTGATGGCCAGGAAAAGGCTAGTCACTGTGACCTTTATACCTGTGCTGGACTATGGTGATTTGTTGTATATGAATGCACCTGCCCATTGCCTGAACAAGTTAGATGCCACCTATCACAGCGCACTGAGATTTGTCACAAATTGTAAAGCACTTACACAGCGCTGTACCCTGTATGCCAAGGCAGGTTTGCCATCACTTACTGTAAAGAGGCTCAGTCATTGGTACACGTTTATTTATAAAGCTTTGTTGGGTAAACTCCCGTATTATATCTGCTCTCTGATAACACAGAGAGTTGCAAGCAGCTATTGTCTGAGATCGCATGATGTAGTATTGTTAGATGTGCCAAGAGCAAGGACTGTCGCAGCTCCACTTGCTTGGAACAATCTTCAGCAAGAATTGAAACTAAGCAATCTCATTCCTCTGCATGTTTTTAAAGTTAGGCTAAATGAAATGCTCGTTGATACTATGGCCACTTGTAAATGTCTATAACTATGTAAATGTATCCTGTAAATATAATGTATGATGTCCTTTATTGTTTTATGTTTCATGTGGAACCTATGCTGCAGGTCTCCCTTGAAAAAGAGATCTATGATCTCAATGGGACCAATAAAGGTTAAATAAAGGTTTGAAATTAAATTAAATTAAATGATACATCAGTAGATGAAAGCAATATTGAACATGAAAAGCATTCTGACCAGGGATGTCAACTTTCAATACCTTCACATTGTTATACTTGGAGTTACTGACACATTTCATTCAGATTTCAGTCAAAAGGAAGTAGGGAATCTGCATATTTGAAGGGCTTAAAACTGAATTGTTCACAAAGGTTGCATGAGAAATTGATTTAAGGACTAATTCATTATCAATAAAGTTGTTGTTTTTTTATTATTTTTGTGTCAAACGACCAATCGTCAAGGCTCTTAAGGTCACCACGTATGCCACCAGGTCTTTTATTTATTGAGGGTTGCAGGATGGGCAAAACTAAATGTACACCGTACTAAGGATATAACAATAACATAATAATGATCACAACTCCCAGTAAAAGACAATCATGGAGAGCAAAATAAAGGTCCTTCTGGACAATTTTTGGCACAAACTTCATCAATTATTACTGAGCAAAGAACTAGCTTATGTGTAGTCTTTCAAAGGGAAGCCATATCTAAAAACAGCCACCTGGTAAAACAAACAGATGGCCGGTCACATCACTTGAACCACATCAGTGCGACAGCTGGGTCAACAAACAGTGGAAGTGGCTCAGTAAAGCAACCTTTCAGGATAACATACCTGCATAATGCCATGATAAAAGACAAACCATGACACAAAGACAGCAATTACCTCTCTTGATAAGCTACTCACTGTCAAATCTCTCTACAGGGCAAAATCCATCTTTTTGATCAACCCTTCGCCCCTAAACAGCAATACCTAACATATATTCATATTAATCATCAGTCAAACAGGTTTCCACACACATTCTCTGAGAGGTGCCCTACTCACCGTACGATAGACATCCTCACTGCTCTCCTCGTACTTCTGCTGAATCCTCTCCTCCAGGAAGTAGATTCGGAGCTTGAGGCTGAAGTTCTCCTTCTTCAAGTCATTCAGGTGCTGTGACAAAGTACGGTAACCGTTAGACATGACGTCACAGAGCACCGATAAGGTGTGACATGTCCGTTATAGGTAAAAAATGAACGTCGTCTTCGACCTCTCCGTATCACGGGGGAACACGAAGTCCATATTAAAGGACATTGACTGTCAAGCCATGTCCATGTGTTAGAGTCCGGTAACCGTTAGACATGCTACCTCCTTCTCCAAAAGAGCATAATGTCAAAATAAACAAATTATTTACAAAATGGCATCCTAGCCTCTAACAGGCCATTGGGATACCCTTTACAAACACACACTAAAACTAACACATTCACTAGAGTCTAAAGGGGTGTTTGCAGTGCAGAGGGCGGCTCTGCAGCCGGCAGTCAGAGATGCAGCCATGACAGCTCCATGCTGGGCTCTGATCTACTGGGGACGGGCTGGGGCTTATTTTACAGGAGGAGACATCCCTGGAATCCCAGACTGCCAGGGGAGAGGGTGGAAGGGGAGACGAGGGGCCGAGGGAGGGTGTAGGGGTGAGGTAAAAGGCAGAGGGGATCACAGGCAGTTGTGATATGAAGAGAAATCTCATGCCTCTGCAAAACAGGAGCACCAGAAGGAACAAACAGGCACATGATGAGAAAGGCGGGGGCTGGATGTGGGTCCTCTTCTGTCTTTAGTATTTTATCTAACTCGTTTGATGTGGATTCAACTTTAATTTAAAAGCATACGTTATGCAAAATGGCCATTTAAAGCACCAGAGATTTGTTTAATTATTTCATAGATTGTATTTAAATTATTGTTGCCTTAATGTGTGCATCACTTCAATGTTGCACTTGGTAAAGTGGGGTGTATTGAATTAATCTAAACTACTGGGCAGCTTAACCTATGATAATATATAATAATGTATTAGCTGATTAAAATGGTGCATTTATAATCTAAATGTGCAAAGTAGCTAGTAACTAAATATGTCAAATAAATGTATTGGAGTATAAAGTACCACATTTGCCTAAAAAATGTAGTGAAGTAAAAAGTAGCATAATGTAAAAATACTCGAGTAAAGTTAAGTACACGTATTTCAATTATTTTACTTAAGAAGAGTCCTTGAATAAATGTACTTTCTCATATTATACCACTGGTTAACACTAATGTAAAAGGGGGTCAATAAACATACACATACTTATCAGCCGACTAAGCAGCTCTACGTTTGTCTCTTTTAGCTAGCTAATTGTAGCTAATTGTTTTGTAAGTAAGGTGAGGACATTAATTGCATGGTTGTGTCTCACTTGTCACAGAGAGGTTTTAGTTTTTAAGCTGTAGCGGGTATCATTTCTGAGGAAGAAACATAAAGCAAAAACAAGAATCAACAACATAAGTGGATAAGAGTAACCGCGCTACCTGCCCAGCACCAAAGGAAACACAGGTACAATTAGCCACTCGCTAAAGCTAGCCTCTTAAGAAAGTAAAATATTGTTAGATTAATGCAATGTCCAGATATATTGTTCAGACGTTGCCGGAGACCAAAACAGAGCTAAAAGCAGAGTTAATGTCTGACTTACAGTCGTTTGGTGTCACGAAACACGAGTCAAAATGAGTGCTAATGTTGTGCCTGCTGGATATGACACTAGCTGTTTGCTAACATGTTAGCTATAACAACTGAATGAGTGACAACAGCCTCATCACAGAACTGACAGCCTGTAGCCTACACTTACTGGCCAATACCTAAATAATGCACTAAATGAATAAATCCTTTAGACTCTCTTAGGGTGAATATTATTGAAGGGGATGTGATTGTGTCATCTGAAATCTATGTGAAAATATTTAAAGTAATTATGTTTTCCTTCTATTCATTCAAAAACTCCCCTGACAAAGGTTAGCAGCATGGTAAGGTAATGGGAGCACGACAGACAGGTGAGTGGAGAGAAGTTGGATGAAATAGGAGACCTGGGAGCTGGGAGCCACAGGGCTATTAATAGGGAGGTGTCCTGAATCTCACTGAGTGGTGAATCCTGTTAACTGTGATGGTTATTCTCGCGTCCAGGCGACTGACGTCCCACAGAGAGATGAGTTATCAAAAAGGAAGACACACTCCACTAAGTCTGGTTTATCCTATATAAAAGTTACAACAGATACAAAAGAGCATCATTAATAAAATAACACTGACACATGTTACTAACACATGCATTTAGTGGTGGACAAAGTATTCAGGTTCTTTACCTGGTTAAAGTAGTACTACAACAGTGACCAAATACACTGTTAGGCCTACAAGGAAATACCCTGCATACTAAATATTGTTTAAAACTCAAAAGTATTACCATTAAACTGCTTAAAGTACTTAAAGTACTTAAAGAACAAGGTGTACAAAGTTATATTTTTGAACAATGGCCCATTTTAGAACAATAATATGTTTTATGTTGCAGCTGCTAGTACTATACAAGACCCTATATACTATGGGGTGGCTTTTCATTTACACAGAAGGTTTAATAAAAGTATTAAAATGTTTGATACAATTATGTATCACTTATCTGAATCATCTACACAACCTAAACTATATACGTAGTTTAATACAAATATAAGTACACTATCTGTATTACTTCTGAAGTGTAATTGGATTAAAGTATAAAGTAGCATAAAATGGAAATAATCCAGTAAAGTTTAATTACCTCCAAATTGTTTTGTTTTGAATTTGAAGGACGGTACTTGAGTAGAGTTAGCCTACTCAGTTACTGTCCACTGTTGCGTGCAGTTACGTCACTGTTGTTGCTTGTTGCATTTAGTGAGTGTGTCTATTAAAGTGTCACATTACGTGCTGTTGCTAAATAATTCTGTGCAAAGATAGGTCAGGCGCCAGCGAAGTCTCCTCACAACATTAGGGATGACATCATGCACATAGTGTGTGTTTTTAAACTCCACACATGACACAACTCACACACACTCACTTTACATCGCTCCATCAAAGACAAATACATAGGAGTGAATGTGTGTAAATATGTGCGGTTAGTATGTGTTTATTTCAGTGACACATTTATGAATTGGCAGCCATGCAACTGACTTCGAGTCCTCTCGTGACTAGTTGGTGACATCTCCCGTTCTAACAGAGCTCAGGCACCTCCAGAATAACATTAAAGGACGAACACTGGTGGTAAGTTTTAAGGGACTATTATAGTGCTTGTTAAGCGTTATATTCTGATCTGGTATGCGTCTGAACATTGACAGATTGGGGGTGTGTATTTAAGAAAAAGCGTGTTGGACTTGGAATTGATTTAACACAGTCTGGGTATTTCAGAGGATAAGATAACGTAGTATTGGTTACAATACACAATATTACAAATAGACAGTGTAAACTCATGCAAAGTGGGTTACTTGCTGTTCTCAACACAAGGCAATATGAATTAAAGTACTTTAGTTCCTAGACAATGATCTCTGTTGTATATTTAAGGCGAGAACAGGTGAAAGGATGGAGGTATAAATCGGTGTGGGTACTTTGATACAAGATGTTTTGGAGTTAACGTAAAGCTAGATCCTGACGGCAATAAGCTTAGCGAAGCAGGCATCCAAGTCTTTATGCAAAGCTTAAATTATGTTTTTTTTTCATGTGCACATGTTTTTAAAAGAAAGATGAGCCCGAGAAAAAGTAAATAGATTTAAAAATATATTTTCATTCAAACACATAACAGCTACATAAAACTGTAATCCTGATCTCTTTTGTCTCAAGACAAGCAAAAAGTGTGTGTTTGATCTTACATCCTACCTTTATGAGGCTTTGGTTTACCAATCAGTCATTCTTTTTCTTTGGATTCATAGTCACGATCATTTAAAGACATTTACATTGTTGTGTCGCATCAGACAAAAGCATCCAACTTTTGCCTTGTTGAAGTACACTTTATCAGCATAAATTATGATTGTCATATTTAGGTTTAAATTGTGATCTGGACTGTTCTCCAAGCTCATTCCAACACCCTGCTGCCAAACATCAAGAGGGATGTTGAATGTAGTCTTTTTGAACAATGCAACTGGTACAATGCCCAAAAATAGTGCGGCTGAGTCTGAGTAGAAATCCTAAAGTAGGCCATGTAGCCAGAGGCACTCTTTCACAACCAGGAGGGATCAGGGTGTTTTCCATCTGATATCAGCTGTACAGTCATTTAATAAAATGTGTTCCCGAGAGAGTATGGATATGAGTAAGGATATACGTATTAGATGTCCTCAATATTCAGTAATCTTCTTCCATAGCAGGATTACTGCATAACAGCAGACCAAAATCACCTCATTACTTCTTGCAGGAAGATGTGAAGCCACTAGATGGCACTGTATGTTATTAGTGATGAGAGTAGTGTTCATTATGGCGGAGGACAAAGAAGTGTCACTTTTATTAAGCTCATTGACCATTTAAAATAAAAGGTCTCACCTGTTCAAACTCCCTGAGCGTGTGAAGCTGAAGAGGAGGAGAGTTGTCTGTTTCATTACGACACAAATCTAAGCAGAGGAAAAACATGTTTTGAAATCACCAAATATCTGAATTAGCAAACCATATTAGCAAATATAATTTAACATGATCCTTGACCGCTGTGTACCTGTCATGCGACCTGGGTTTTTGGATGAAGTCTGCTCTTCCACAGCACTGTCGAGAGAAACAAAAACATATTGTCAACACTTACATAATACATAAGAGAGAGAGGAGAAAATACCTATGAAATCAGAAACCCATATCCACATATCCACCACGACATTTATAGCTGTGTGAATATCTTACAAAATAAGCTTTGTAATTCTGAGAGAAAGAGCTCTTCTGGAAATTGAAAAAGCCACTCAAATATTTTCTCTAACAGCATAATCTTATTTACATGTCTGTGGGGAATTGGGGGTCATCAGGGAGTCCCAGCAAGGGGAGCAACTGCGGCTCAAAGTTGAACCAAGCCACTCAGAGCTTTAGTAGACGTACCTACCGGCTATCTACCAACCAAAACTCAAACCTGGATGTGCACATGACAGATGCAATCAGTGCAATCAGTGTTCTCTTAATCTGGTTTTAACTGAGTGATTTCCAATTAAATAAAACAAGATTAATGAACGGGCGTACATCTAATGTTCTACAAAGAGACATGCCAACCAGGAAGAGACTGGAAATAAAGAAAATAAATAAATAAACACAAAACAATGACAGATAGGCACAAAATGACTACAATAAACATGACATTACTAAAAAAGATACACACAGAAAAGGCTTAACAGCTATAAAATCTATATTGCTCTTAGAGGTTGTGGGGGCTCTTGCATGTCTTTGCCCAAGTGTCGTTTGTCTCATAATCTGTGTGCACTGACCACAGCACAACAGTAGCAGCATAAGCCCACTATTTTTGCCAACCATTACCCCTCATACAGGGCTGCATTCTGTTCATTAGCTGTCCCCTTTCCAATCTCTGTGTGTACATTCCTCCGACAGCTGCTCCATCAGAAAATGTATAGACAGTTGCTGCATGCCAGAGGATTAAACCTTTGCCAGGTGGATGAATAGTCTACATGCTGCATCATTGTGGTGGGCAGGGTATCAATATCACTATGTGTTCACTACTGTTGTGCAAATATCAATGTGATGGTCCATTTTTAGTAACAGTGAGAGCCCCTCTGTGTGGGAGGGATTTGGTGATGCAGTAACCTACATACAATACCACACACTGCATGGAGACTTTGAACTCCAATAACTCTGAATTAATGATAAGTAACTCTTATACTCCATTGATGCTTAACGTGGGTTGTGATGAGTCAAAACGATTTTTATTATTGAAAGTCATGCAGTCAGTCCTTATTCAGTCGTGCTCTCTCGAGTATTTGAAGGAATTTAATCTTAGTTTTTACTTCTTGGCTTGTTTCATTGAGTGTCTCCCCGGCCATGTATCCCAAATGCAGTGTTGGGCCCTTTAAATGTTTGCTACTGTATTGCAATGTAAGTTCATTTGTGCAAAGTAGGCCAAAATTAGCCTCCTGAATCATGTCATCCTATAGTAATCAGAAAATATATTATGAATGCATTGGGCTGACAATAGAGACATCCGGTGCAATATAGCAAATGAACGTCAGCAATTTTATCGACAGTGGCTTCAATACCTTTAACAACCGACCCATAAAGGATGCTACTGTATGTGATACAGACACGGCCCTTATCACACCGGAGGATGCACGACAGAACGCTGTTTCTATGTGCATATAGAAAATATGCACATAGAAACCGATATTACGTTTTTAATTCACCCAACAACAGTTTATAAGCCCGTTTTTTTAAGATACCCAGTGAGAGCTATAGTGTTCCTCTGCGGTGTTCCCCCGCACACAAGCATCCTGCGCCTCACCTCTCAGACTCTCCCCAGATTTGCTCCGGTGGCGATGAGATCCAATCCATATAGGCTGTTTCCTTCAGTCAACGGGCATTCATGCCGGTTAACCGCTGCTTTAAATCACCAGTCCATTGTTCATTTTGACAGAAAATACAACCACACAGTCAGGAACATGTCATAGTGTACGCGCTCGAAGCACCGCGCTCAGGTTAGGAGGGGGTGTGTGCGGATGCGCGCCCTGAGAATAAATGCTGGATGTGAGAGCCCCGTCCCACAGAGCAGAGCCCCTGCTGTTCAACCTGAACACCAGCGCGAGCTGAGGGGAACAATGAGCTGCCTATAGTAAAACTGCATTCTGAGTAAAAATAATGTTCAAATCAATTCCTGATTTGACTGAAAATTGTTGATTTTCCAAGAATATGGTTCCCATTACCATATAGGCAAAAATGTTGATTAATACTCCAGTTTACTCTGAGACAGAAGATCAAACCGTTTTCATGTAATCCTTTTATTTATACATCACATATACTGAGGTAGCTGGGCCAATCAAACTTGGACTGAAATATCGAAATTACATCTCTCTCTGATATTGACTACAATTATTGCTACAATGCATCAATTCATTATCAAGCAAATGACTTGTGCATGAACTCTAAGCAGCGGTGATGCAATACATATTTCGATTTACTTTGACTTATTAATAGTTATATCACACTATAGGACACTCAATTATTAGTTATGCATGTTTAAAGTACAAATAAACTGCACAATTCTGAATCAGATAAATATATATAATTTTTAAGATGCAAACAGGGTTGCAGTCTGTTTTAATCCCATGACATGATCTCTCCTCTAGTTTCTCATTTTAACTGAATTATTGCAAAATACTTGGAAAATGGTTGCTGCACTAACTTTTGCTTTATGCATACTTGGCAACAATTCTCAGTTGAAACAATGTGGTATTCAGGGCAGAGAGTATAAAGGCTTTACAGCACACATTGTTCAGATGTTGCTTAATTATTAGTATTTTATTTCATTATTCTTTATCCAGCAACTTTCCCATGTTAAAAACACAGATTTAGAGTTAAGTTTTGGGAGTCCGACTCAACGGTTATTTATATGAAGTTGTAGAGGCTTTTGATTGAAAGCTATCTACATTGACTCGAGGGTCCTGCTCTGAAAGAGAAGGGGATTAAGGGGGACAAAGTTAATACGATTATATCGTTGTTTGGTTTAGCAGTCAGTAACAGTAAAAGGGTGTGTAGGGAAGAGCTTTGTTAATCTTGTTAGAGGAAACAAAGCCTGTGTGTAGTTTCCTCTCAAAATGAAACAGATTTGAATGATTAGAGTGAGTTCTTATCTGAGCCTGTGGCACCATGAGCCTGAAGGATGAAGAATTATAACTTCAAGCTAGTAAAGGACCAAATATATCAGGCTGAGTTTAGTTCAAGTACTTCTTTACCAGAAGCCTGGTGCATTCTTATTTCTAACAACATACACTCACATCAGTCCTAAAAGGTTTCTCAGCTCCTTGACACTATCATGTGTGGTGACGTGAAGCTTATTGTGACTTGTTTTTGTTAACTATGGCGCCCTCTTCTGGAGTGGGGGTGTTCAATTCAACTACAGGGCTGCAGTCCAATAGTCCATTTAGCTTAGGAACCTTCCTAACGGAGTGAAATGACCCGGAAGTACGTCACTGGCAGCCATGATAAGTGCCGTTCCAATTCTCCAAATGAAAGGAAAGGAGGTTTCAAACTTCCTTTATAACCTCCTTTAGCTTAGGAACCACTGGACCTCCCTAACCGAAAGGAGAGGAGAAAATGCTGCCCCACAATGCATTGCAGCCGCAGCATTTTCCGTCACACAACAGTCGGCCGTTCACGGACACAAACGATAATGGGAGAAATTATATCATGAAAGTTACGGTGCTTATTACGCATTTTAAAACGTATGTGGTAAGTTGCCAAAGTGCTTTGTTTTGAACGTTCATCAGTATTATAATCAAAAAGAGAAATATGAACGTTAGTTTTTACTGAAATTATCAAATAAAGTCAACATTTCACTGAGCTGTGTGGGGTTGTTCAACTTTTAAAAGATGTTTGAATGGTGATATACACAGTGATAGATGTTAAGGACTAACGTTTATAATAAATACATTTGTATTTATTTTAAGATCTTTTAATAGTTCATGCAATCATACTGGGATCATTTGTATTAATGTGGACCGGAGGGAGAGGGTGACGAGCATAAGTTTCACTTTCCTTTTTTATTTCAATTCCAACGTTGGTCATGAAGAATATGTTTCTCTGTTGTCCACGTTCATAAAGCAAAGCAACAGCATCAGAGCACGGTGCAGAGTCTCTAGATGAGTTGACAGTAGTCCCTCGTTCTTATTATACATTCATGTTGTAGTCCGCTGTATAGAAAACTGTGGTTTCCATAGTTTCCCCACAGCAGCAGACGCACGTTTATGACGTCCGCTGGCGCATCATAAACACGTCGGATAGTGAAAGTGCATTCGGATTCTCTAAAGTACCGCAGTCTCTTCTCCTAAGTCCTTTTGAATTCTCCTATCCACTATCCCATAACCCCGTGACGTTTCACTCAGAGGTCAAGGAATAGGAGATAGGGTTAGAATTTAGGAGCTGATTTTTGGATTATCGGAACGCAACCCATGTGTTTTAGTGCTGCAAAGGTCAAACAAACAAAAGCCTCTGTAAGCACAAACCACTGCTGAAGGCTGCTGCATGATCATCAATGGAGGACACACTGATATTTTTAGGTACATTAAGATATGTGTAATACATTTGTGAGTGAGTGAGGGAATATGTGTTTTTATTTGGGCAAAGGTACTCCTTAAGGTTAGGGTTTAACAATTGGTTAAGATCACCATAAGATCTTTGGTTAAAATGGTTGTCTTTAAGTTGTGAATCCAGTCCTTGGATCTGTGCATAGAGCTTGAATTAATATTCATATAAATTATACATTCAAAAATGTTTTCCACCTGTTTTTATTAAAATAAGGCTACTGTTCTATTGTATTTAACATCTACTCTTGATACATTTCCTGTTGGATTAATATCAATGCACTACAGGAGAGACAAACATTTCTTGCTCATTATTTACAGATCACAGATTGTCATTTACAGAATAAGTAACAACGTGTTGAGATTTGCAGCGATGACTATGGTATTAATTAGCTTTATTTGTTTATTTTTAAGCCAGCAAGTTTACAATTCTCTTGTAGTCAGCCAAATTAGCTGCAATGACTTCATCAAACACTAGATGTCCTCATAAACCTGCTTTGCACTCACGCATTTCGCAGTCAACATCTCCAACTATACACAGTAATACTTCAATTAAACAACACATCAGTCCTCTTAAAATAATCACTCCAGATACAGGAGGATCTTGTGTTTCTTAAAGGTCCCCTATTATACTGTGTTTCATCAATATATTATAGGTCTCAGATATATACAAAACATGTTTCTGAAGTGTTTGGCTCCAAATACCGAACAGATCATGCATTGTAGCATCCCATCAACCCCTCTGTTTCAGCCCTGTTTCAAAAGTGCTGATTCTCTGTCTGTTACTTTAGATGAAAATAAGGAGCCCCTCCCCACGCCCCTCTGAGAGATATTTGGTTAAAAAGAACACAATGGTGCTCTAGGAGGAGATCCAGGTGATAAGGTGGGCGGGTGTTACCTTGGTTGGTTATTGGCTAATGGTTACACAAGCCAAACTTTATGACATCATAAAGTGGCCAAAATCTGATCAGCTCATTTTCAGACAGGTTTTTATATAAATGGATCAGGACAAAAAGAGAGAGAATCTTTTTTCCTGAAACTTTCAGAATCTCTTTACACAGAGGGGACACATGTTTATGTATAAAAGACATGAACAAGTGGATTTTGCACAATAGGTGACCTTTAACACCTTCTCTCAAAGACTACCCGGGGTACCGACTTGACCCCCAGAGGTTCTGAGATTAACCTGGGGACGGGGGCTATTGTGGGGTCTTTGTCCATCATCATCTCCTCAGCCTGGGCCATCGCCTCCAGCTCGGGGCAAGTTTCTGGATACCAGTCTACAATGAATTTATCCTTGGCCTCACAATAGTTCACCACCGCTTCCTCAGGCTGCTCCCCAAACACCCAGTCTGGAGAACAGGAGGGAGGAAAGAGAGTGGATGAAAGAGAAATGCTGTTAGTGATGATATGCACATAGTAGGGGAGACATGGGTGGATAATCTGAAGAATGGGCCTCAAAATGTTAATAATAATCTGCTAATAATAAAACATTTGAAAGTCACCAACATGTTTCGTCAGGCAAACATTTCAGTTTTATAGTAGCTCATCAAATGCAACATACTAGTCTTTGGACTTAACATACAATACATCTGTTAAAAATGTAAAAAGATTAACACATATTCTATTAAAGTTAATATTTTTTCAAATCTTGAATTAAACGTTCAAATTGTTTATATTCTTACTTTAACTATAGCATTTTAAATTGGCTACCCAACCCTGTGATAGGACCATAGTATGGTTTGCACACATGCATAATGACTTTAATCATTTATCACATATATATTATAGAAAACATTTGTCTACATTCAAACAAATCTATAGCTGTTATCTTAACTGTTCATTTGCTGCTTGTGAAATATTGAACAGAAATGATGATAGAGACATGAGGCAGAGGGTGAAAACTGTGCCACTTACTGTAACCCCATCCCCTTACCTCTGACTTAAAAAGGACCTACAGCACAGAAACAAACCTGCAAAGTCATGGATGAGGTCTATGATGAGGTGGCCGATGATGGCATAAAGAACACCCAGCACCACGAAGACGGCCATGATCAGGTAGAGGACATATGGAGGCAGGTTGACAGCGTCCCGAGAGGGGGGAATGTAGCTCTCAAACAACACCGTCCCATCGTCTTCTCTGTAAGGAAAGTTTGAGCTGTCCTCCGTCCACTCCATCGCTGAGAGTCTTCAAAGTCAGCCTGGGAATCCTCTTAATGTCTCAGAGTCATTACTGTAAGGAAAGGAGCCGACACATCTTTTCAACTCACAAAGTGATCAAGAGGAAGTACCTCATTGCTCCACAATATTTAACACAATGACAATGTATTAACCTTTCAAACGTGTAGCTTTCAGATCAACTTCCACTTACAGCAAGGAAGCAGCAGGCAACGACCTTCCATGTGTCTTTACATTCTTGTGAACACCAAGCCAATTTAAAATCATAAAAAGTACCACTACATCTCTCATCCTGACAAGTTTTTAATTTTGTTTCCCTGTGCAAATGTTCTGTCTGCCTGTGGAGATACACAGATGGGAATAGATTAGCTGCAGCAGCTTGAGGCAGTGAAGGTCAGAGGAACGCCTCCACCAGCACAGTCTATTAATTAGGTGAGGGATATTTACCTGATGAATAGAACAACATCTATGTATATATACGCATGTTTGTATGTATGTATGTATTCATTTATGTATGTATCTATCTATGTATCTATGTACGTACCTTTCTATTTTCTTCCTCTTACAGCTTTATCTGACAGTATTTAATATAACTAATGTAACAGTGACCCTTGTCATTATGGATAAGGTCACTGCCCCTGACGTACCCAGGTATTACAAGAAGGTAAGATGGATTAAAGGACACAGACAAGACACTCTCGTATGATTCAGTTGTTTACTAAAGAGAAGCTTAGTCCAACACCAGAACAGACAACACTGATACACTTTTTTCTTCCTGACACATTACAGCAACACGTCTGACGTTATGGAAAACTTCAGGTTATGATTTTGACTGGACGGTGAAGAAATAAACAGATTGTAATTCTCATACAATTTTATAAAACTTTCTTTATATTTTCATTCAGCTTTTCTTATATACTGTATAGATACATATATAAATATATAGTCTTTGGATTTACACTTAAGTTATTGTAATATAGTGTATTTCTTTAGCTCACATAAACATATTGAAAGTTTGTAGAAAATGTATGAGACATTATGGAATATGTAAGTTATCAAAGTAAGCATTTGTTTCGTATTAAGATAAGTACAAACTTTACGTTATTTTAAGCCACATGTGTTTTTTATAAAACTAAATTACCTTAGCATTAAGCATCACTACAGCAAGAGACAACTCTGATCAATGCATTGAAATCAGATCAATATGCTAAAACAAAAAAAGTGATCTGAACTCAGGGGGCGGTGGCATAGGAGGTCATGGGGCAGGTGAAGGTCACACTATGAGCAGATATTCTTTTTTCTCCGGGGTATGGAGGATGGACAGATGGACGGTGGTAGTCCACATCTTCCGGATAGAAACCCGGCAGCAGGCCCTCTTTTTCCATCTCCATCCTGTCTTTCCCCATCAGCTTACTGCAAGCGCTCAGTCGGTGCTCTTCTGCTGTTTCCGCTCTCCCTTCCTCTGAATTATCCTCCACTATTTTGGGACCAAGGAACCAGTCTGTAGAGAAACAGAGAAGAAATCAGACAGTAAAACAAGAGGATTTGTCTTTGACTCCTAGTGTAACTTTCAAAGGGGCACTGCCCCAATTTTACATATAAAGTGCGGTTTTACTCATCAGTGATCCTTAAGAAGAAAATATAGATGTTCTTCTAATGGGAGCTCTCTCAAGTAAAAAAAGACTACACATTTTTAAAAGAAGTGGGCATTTATCAGGCAGAGGCGGTCAAGTTAAAGATGCTTTTGAGTTGCATTGTTCTTAATTTAGGACTAAAAGTCTGGATATCTTGGCCCTCTCCACTTTGTAAAGTACCACTTAAAGTTGTTACTTTAGGAGCAGTTATTCACTTTAGTCAATCACATTAATGGTATAACATGGAAACAGCTGGGAAGGTTGATTTCAGAACACAAACATCAGGGTAAATGTTACTGAAAGTCATTTGTTCACATTGTCAGGGAAAGATAACACACTGATGTAGTCTTGGCCCAACATCTCGGGGGGGGGAAAGTGACACCAGGGTGAAAAGAGTGATTTGAAAGGAAGAGGACAACACCAGCCAGGCTGTTACCTGCGAGGTCATGCATCAGGTCATTAATTAGATGTCCTACTATGGCGTAAGTGGCCACTATGACCAACACCACCGCGGCTACAATATAGACTACATTGCGCGGCAGAGTTATAGCATCTCTCGCCGGCGGTATGTAGTCCAAGAAATAGGCCTCCTCCTCTTTCCTGCTGGTCACCTGCAGGATCTTCCGGTGCTCAAACACCCACTGTGAGAGGTTCAGGAGCAGGGCTCCTCCTGTGGCGTTCAGGGACACAACTGGTTGTTGGTTCATGGTTTAGGTTGCTGTGGTAGAGTTTAAAAGTGGATACTGTCTTTCAAAAGATAGCCTGTTCAAGCAACGTGGTGAAGCTTTTTGGATGTTTCTTTGGGTGACGTATTTATTTTCTTCTTCACGGCACTCTGAAAGCTTAAGGGGGATAAAGGCGCATCGGGGACGAGGAGGGAAAGTGAGAAGAAGATTTAAACATTTTATTTTCTGAAGTTGGTAAGTATGGCCTGATGGATGAGGGATGGAAATGTCAATATGGTCCAAAAAAGAGAAGATGGTCTCTTATGTGAGTGATGCAAAACTACGCCAACAGTGCTATTCTTTCGTCTAGACCTAAATCTCAGAATCCCTCCTTCTAGTATTTTGAGGGGCCGTCGGTCACACCATCGGTGGGGAGCAAGGAGTGTGAGACGGACGAGAGGTGAATATAGGACAGACAGAGCTAATAGGATTGAATCTGTCACAGAGTAATATCAGCTTTCCATCTGTAGGGATTAGAGATATGAGTGAGGAGAGGTGGACAGTAATACGACAAAGAGGCTTATGGTCCTCCATGAACATGCTGCATATATATATTTATATACATTCTATATTAGAGTAAACCCTCTTTCTCTCACTTTATGGATATCCTGAGCTTTCAATCCATCCATCCACTTCTTATATTCTATAAATGTCTTTTCACATAATTTACTGATACATTTTCATGGCTCATTTCTTACTTGATAACACAGCAGATGGTGATATTTCAAAGTGCGTCCAATAAATATCCCCACGGGTAGTAAAACTACATCATCAAATGCAACTTATGAAAGACTCATATGAAAATATGTTAAGGAAAGAACATATCTCCCTGTCTCGCTTAAATTATGAGAAGCTATAAGAGAAGACAAAGAGCAATTGTTGATGAAATGAGGAAGTTGTATGACTCCTTACCTTGTGATAAAGAGTTGAAAAAGCTGCTCAGTTATTTTCTTTGACTTGCAAATGAAAGGATTTCTGGATTGGTGAGTGTTGTACACAGGCGTCTCTGGAAATAACCACAAAACACATGTCAGAAATGTATGTCACACAGAGAAACAGGCCAAACAAAGCTTCTGTCATATCACAGCAGAACCCACCATCAAGGATAAAGTGGGCAGGTAATTGATCTAAAAATATTTATTTTCTCGTCTCAGTTGTTCTCGATCGAGCATCAGGATGTAGATTGCTTCGTAGATTTATTCTTTTGGTGGCTCGGGAACGCTACAAAACCTGGACATGAGAAATTTCCATTCTATTATGGTGATGGCAATATTCGCCAATAGGGTGAACCAAGAGACTGGGTGCAGACCAAAGTAGACGTTTTCTGTCATGTTATGCAGAAGATATAAAAGCAAGATTTAAAAGAAGGTTAAACTTGAACGAAAATCCAGTTTCTAGTAGAGGAGGAACCAGGTGACAAAGAGGATTGGTGTAGTGAAAAAGCAATGTGAGGTCTCTGCATGTTCTTCAGGATGAGGATCTCAGGAAAGCCAGGCTGTCTGTGTCAGTATTAAGATGTTCTTTCGTAATCCATGACAGGATTTGCTGGATGCAAGCCACACTATTATCTGAGTCAGCAGACAGCAAAACAAAAGACGTAGGTCATTAAGCATCACTTGCAAAGCCTGTTGAAACTGTGTGGTGCAGTTTCAACAGATTATTCACACTGTAAGCCACAAATACGACTTAAGGACAACTCAAAGACAATAAAAAGGTGCAATTCAATGTATTTACCTGTGCTAAGTTATTCAATAAATCCAGGCATTACCTGTAAGAAGGACTCCTTTCTCAATTGGTTGCAGGATCCCTTCAGTTTAGTTAGTTTGCAAGTAGGTGAAACAGAAAGATCATAAGCAGACTTGACAGAAAGCACTACTTGCTGCCCTTACTCACTAGTCCTAAAACAAAAAACAAAACAGTTTCAGTCAGTCCATTTCGACCCTCAGGCCGGAGTGACGATCTTCTTGGGTTTGTCTTCTGGTTCCGTCTGCCACTTCATGTAGGAGTCGCCCAGAATGAAGACCCAGAAGACGACAGTTAGAGAAGTGTTCACGACTATAATACCTAAAATTAGAGGATGCATCATAGCAGCAAACTGGGTGGACTCTAAAATGATCTGTCACCTCAAACTAACTGTGTGTCTGCTGTGCATGCGAAGGTTTGTATGATTTAATCGCATCTCATGTCCGCTCTAAGGCTGGACTCTCCACCCCTCTCCACTCTCGCTTCCCACTGGTCACTATGTGGCAGCAGCAACTTAATCCTCTTCAGCTGCTTTGATACAGAAGATAGCTGCATCAGATTTAGGTTTACAAATGTTTATCCCTGAGATGTTGAGGCCTAATTCACACAATCTGAAGAAAAGTAGAGTGGTAAGTGACAGTATTTTTAGAAACTGCCCAGTGACTGAGAAAAAACATAATCTTTGTTCTGAACTTTATGTTCTCTCTCAGATATAATCCAGAAACTAATCAAGACTGTAGACATCGCATGGAGGAGTTCTTAATCTTACACCAAACCGGACAGATGGCCTTAATCGAACCCCAGGGGCCACAGGATCCCAGACAACACTTCAAGATTTCCAGCATTAACCCAGTTTTCTTTTCAAAGTAATCCCCTGTAGTACGATTTCATGGGTGACATTAGAAAGGAATAGGCACAAAGGTGAAATTCCGTGTCTTGAAAAAGTCACTAAGGAGATAAAGTTGAGATAAGTGTGTCCACCAGGTGGCAGTCTGTGCAAAGACACGCCGAGTAAAAATAACTAGTTGTTGTATGCTAGTAGCAAGTGTGTGGCATTAGCATAGAATTCACCTATTCAGTGACAGCAATTCGAAAGTGCTTGTTTCCACAAAGACAAAAGTGTATTTTACACATTACACACGACCCAGAAGTCCATAATCTGCACTTTGGGCCGCTCTCCCTTTACAGTTTCTCCCAGCAGACATGACACCTGGTCTGAACTTTGAGACTAGCTAGATAGCAAGTTGGAGCAGCAGTTTCACAACAGATCAAAAGGCAACGGGCTGGACTGACACTCCTTTTAATTATCTCAAACTCCCTCGGTGTCAGTGGAGAGGACACATTATTCTAACATGCCAAGCTTTACAGCTCATTGTGTTTAGAAGAAAAATACTTCTGGGTGGATATTTCTTTCAAAAAGAGGTCAAACAATAGGATTTCAACAATGAGGCCGCCGGTGGAAGTCAGCGTGTTGATCGTCTCTCTCTTGGCTCCTGGAGTTTTGTACACTATTAACAACATCCCAGCGCTTCAGGAGTAAGTGAACAAACTCTCTTTGATATTTCCACTATCGTAAGGGCCTGATGTATGGAGGCAGTGCACAGTAAAGGAGCTGCTGATGTTAATAGGCTTATGAAGATCTTCCGGTGCAGACTAAAAACTCATCTCTTTCGACTCTACTTCTAGCAATACAATTATTAACAAAGCACTGGCTTATCTAAATCTAGTTGAGTAGCACTTGAAATGTGTTGGCTCTATGAAACCTGATGTACTTATATGATTCCGTTTTCTTCAAGTTTGTATCTTATTGGTCGAATGCACTTATTGTAAGTCGCTTTGGATAAAAGCGTCAGCTAAATGCAATGTAATGAACAGGTCCAAGCCTGAGGGAAAAGAGGTTTTATTGAGGGCGTGTTTATCCTGAGGTAACCTTGTTTAAAGTAACTGTGCAGGTTCATAAAGCCCACAGAAAACAAGATTCACTTAAGTCTTCAGGATTAAATGTATTACATTTTGAAGAAAATGTTTTACACTTCTTAAAGTAAATGTAGGTAACACATTGACTACATTGTTTCAAAGCTTTGAACTGAATCACACGCACTTTCATCAAGGTAGCTTGTTCCAAGACCAGTGACGCATAGAGCAGCACCCTTTAAAAGTATCCTAATGACCACATATTGAATGGTGTACAAAACTTGACCAGTGTTATTTCTAGACCAAACTAAGAATAACACCAAAGAAAACCTTGAATTTAATAAAAAATCTTCAAATCTGATGTCCATTTTATATTTCATATTTGTCTAGAAAGGAAACAAAGGGAATAACAGGTTAATACAAATGTTTCTTGGTTTGTCTATTCACATTCACTCCAACCTCTTTGTTTCTGATGAAAGTATAAATGTGATGAACATTATTTATAATCAGGGCTGCAGCTAAAGTTTATTTTCGTTTGGACTAGTCTACTGATTATTTTCTAGATTTTTGAGTTCTTACTTGATTAACAAAATGTCAGTTAAGGAAACGTAGTATGATCATTTCCTTAAACACAATTGGCAAATTGATTTATAATCTCATTATTCCTCAGGCCTCTTCCGATCCTGGGATTGGGAATGTTCATCCTGGGATTTGTACTCCTCCTCCTCCGCCTCACTGTGTCAAACCAGACGAAAGTAGACCCCTTATTCTATGGTAAGCCTAGAACCAGACACACACACAAACACTTCAACGTATTAGTCAAATGAAGGGGTCGTTTTGTTCATTGTGGCTCTTTGTGTTCAGTATTTGCAGAGTTTTCCTTCACCTGCATGGTGGGTCTAACTAATGCTTTAGAGCAGGATGGCTTCATCTCTGGCTTCATGGGCTTCTACCTAAAGAAGGTGAGAGCTAACCATTTCCCTTCCTTTGTCTACTTCTTTATAATGCTTTGTATTGTCTTCACATGTCAAAAGCTCAAATTCCTTATGTGATCTGTCTCTTTAGGGTGAGCCCCATCTAAGCACCGCCTATGCTGTGATGATGTCATACTGGGACGGCATCGTACACTTTATCCTCTTCCTCAACATCATCCACCGCATGTTCAGAGGGTAAGCTGTCAGCAGATAAAAAACGGTCTGCTCTGTGTTCAGTGAGTCCTCTAAGAACAACTGTTGTTTATTTGTCCATGCAGGAAGTCCTATCGTAGCCTGGGGCTGCTGTGGGCGGGCTCCTCAATCGCCAATCAAATTGTTCACATCCCAGGAGTGGTGATTGGTGAGATATGCCACATTTGATTTAGCACATCCTCTGTCTTGTTTGTGTTTGTTTACTATAAGTGATGTTCCTATTTATGCAGGTAAATACGGGTCTAACATTCGACCAGGTTTTTGGAGGAATGTCCCCTTCTTTTTGGCCCCTTTCTGGGCGGCCTCTGTTCTCTTTAGCAGACCCAGAGAGATGCCGGTCGTCACTGCAGACAAGGTAAGTCCCAGCAGATTTACAACAATCTGTGTATCTGTAGAGTAGTGGTGTCCAACAATTGTTTGTTTCATTTGAGCTTCTGTCAATGTACAGAAGATATGAAAATGTACAAAATTCATATTTACAGTAAGAAAAAAGATTAAACAACAGTTTGTAATTTCAATAACAGTTTGTTTATTATTTCATCACCCTGACAAATGCGATTGTCTGGGTCTTTACCCCAAGGTTGGAAACCTATGGCACAGAGGATCAACTAACTTAACTAATGCTGTTTTTGTTTTGTAAATGCAACTTATTCATTCACTAGTAAACTGTTTATTGAATAATCATCAATAATCACAGAAAAAAAGAAAATGCAGCCTATGCAAATCTGCATATAATAATCTTGCTTTATAATGACTGTTATGTAGTAATTTAAGTATGTGGATGTACTGTTACCTATTTCCCTGTGTTGACTAGATTTCAGCAGAGCAGAAGAAAGGTTTGCTCTTTCGGCCCATTGACCTGCTTCTGTCTCTTATGTTGCTCGGAGCGATGGCCTTCTCTGTTTTCAGAGGCTTTGTGAGTAAAACTACATGTCGGCTTTTGTATCTGTCCTGCATTACTGCTTCTGAACGAACTCACTGAGTCATGATGGTGCAGTATGGATGCTATAACCCGCTCCTCCTGCTCTGCTGCAGGTGGTGCTGGACTGTCCTCTCGACACCTGTTTCACCTACATCTACCAGTACGAGCCCTACCTCAAAGACCCAGTGGTCTTCCCCAGGGTGATGGTGAGTGTGGAGAAAATTAAACCAGAATCTTAATACACTGTATCTTCTTGTTTATAATGATTCGTCTTTTTGTGCAGATGTTGGTGTATTTGTTCTATGCAATGCCCCTGATGGCTTTCTTCACCTATGGTCTGAGAACACCTGGATGCAGCTGGATGTTGGACTCGACGATCTTCTTTGCTGGGGCCATGGCTCAGGTAACTGCAGTTATGTTTTTTGCTGCTATTAATATTCCATGCAAATACAGCATAAATGCTGACTTCCCCCTGCTGTACCCCCAGAGCCAGTGGTGCCATATCGGAGCATCTCAGCACTCCCGCACTCCCTACACGTACCGAGTCCCAGCAGACAAATGGTGGCCTGTTATCACCCTCAATGTGCTGCTGGCTGCTTTGCCGGCTCTGCTGGCCCTGCGCTGCCACGCCAACCCCGTTTATTTCATGAAACCTGTTCCTGAGGGACAGACCAACAAGGAGAAGAAGAAAAACTAGACCACACACCAGCCACAGACTGTCGAGAAATACTTCACGCTGTGACAAGGCTAATGTTTTCAGGGGACTCTCTTTGGCACGCAAACTGCATTAAACACACCATTTTTCAACCTGAAACCCAGAGGAGAGCTAAAAACGTTACTCTCTGAGTCAACCGTTCAAATACCTAGCACAGCAGCGGCAGCAGCAGCACTCCCCTCACGGACTATTGGACCCTGATAAGAAGGCTGCTGATGAGGTCAGCTTTCAGGTGACTCATGCAGACACCCAGTTGGTATCTTCCCAAACTGAGACTATTAGCCTGGATCAGACAGTTGGCAACACACTACTGGAGAGCAGCCGTCACCATGGTGCATCCTTTTATGAAGATAACCACACTACAACTCCACAGCTTGAATTTTTTGTTTTTTACTGATCCAATATTCAGTCAGGGAAAACTATCACAGTTTTCTGTGTTTAAAAACTGTGAATATGAGAGGAAGATTCACTGAATTCCTAAAAGGCTCAATAACTTAAGAGTTGCTGAAGTGGGTTGAAAGAGTTATTCAAGTGGAGAATTTCATAAAGGAAAAACTCCTTTATAAAAAGACTTTATATAGTGTTAAAATATTCGATCCTTACATGAGGTCACATGGGAGGCAACTAACATAACTTTGTAATGAAATGTTAAATTATTTAGTCTGGAAAATAATGAAACATGTCTATCACAATTAAAAACACTACAAGGTGACATCTTTTACATTGTTTTGTTTTTTCATCCCAACAGCTTTTAAATGATTAAATGATTACCAAAATAGTGCTGTACTAATTGATTAACTGATTTCATCTCCAGTTGCATCTCAGAGTGGTTTTTCATGCTTTATGTTTAACTTTATTTTCAATAAAAACAAATAGATAAAACTCGGATACAAGTTATTTGCATTTGGATTTACATTATATGTGTGTTTTACCTAATGTCTACCTTTGAAAAAAATATACATATATAATCTAGATCGTATATCTAAAGTTCTGCCTTTTTTCAGCACCCACCTTTAGCTGTCAATATTGCCTTCGGTCGGTGCTGTCATTGTACCCAAAGTGCAGTGAACCGCTGGCCCAGTTAACTTTGCTGTGAAACTGATAAGAGGTGAACCCTGAGTTTGGCTGAGCGACAACATGACAGTACAAATTGTCCCATGACACTGAGATCAGCTGTTAGTGGCCCAAACGTTTTTTGTTTTGGGTGCCAAAGTGACATTTTCACATGGTGGATCCAAGTCTTGTCCTTTTTTATTTTGAAGGAGGATACTAATGTTTTTGGTTTCGTAATTTGACATTTAGGCCAATTACAAAGTTAGGATTTACATAAATGATGTATCATTAATAAAATCCTGGCTATCCATGGCCGTTAAATGGATACATTTTAGACAGAAGTAAACAACCATAAAGAGAGGAACCATAAATATATTTCTGTTTTCATTTTTATATCATGTTAAAATCAAATTCACCAAAAGAAAAGGTAATGGATAATTTGACGGCAAGGTTTCTGTTGCTCCATTCTAGCTTTTTGTCTTTTATGGGCCACTCACCTGGTGGGCCGTCTTTCTCTCTTAAAATATGCTGCTCACATACACACAACAGAGATGAGAAAATTGCCTTTGAACCAAACAGGATACAACTATTGCTCCCTGTGCAGAGTGCAATATGAAGTGTGCAGCAAGGCTCAGAAAGATAAAGCCCAAAATAAAGGGATTTGATTGAGTTTCCTCTGTTGGGGTAGCAAGGGGACACGGAAGAAACAATCTGGGGATAACAGCCCTTTCCTGTCTACAAGTAATGGATTATAGGATCACTCTCCAGTAAAACAACCCCAAGTCTACAGCTCTGTGTGAGGATTCTTAGGTACAGTGGTGCGTTGAGCTAAATGATAATGTCAGCATTTAAATTAAACCTTAGGGTGTGAAACATGAAGCCAATGCAGAAGGGTTATCAAACATCTAGCAAGCAGCATAGAAATATATAAGAACATTACAAAATAAACTTCTAGTTGGATTTATTGCCTTAGTAAATATTTCCTTGATAAGCTTTTTGTTGTAATCACTAGTATGAAGTCCTTCTCAATAGTATTATGTTCATTTTGTAAATTTGATCCCAATTGGAGAAAAAATTGTGACAAATCAGGGTATGTTTTAGGGCATACCATCCTTTTGATTGGCTTGTCGCTACCACTCTGTTGTTCATGTTCATGAGAGTCAATTTCAAAGTATTGGTTGCCTCAAAATGTCAGCATTCAGTCCAAAAAACGAAATGGCTACGGCCAGGATGCCAAACTCAAGGCTTTAAAATCGTAGTCCACAAACCACGGGTGACGTTATATTAAATGTGTCGACTTCTTATACTGTTATAGTCTGTGGTTAGGATGCTAACATGCTGGTGTTTATGTTTACCATGTAAGGGTAAGTGTATTAGTTCAGTTTGTAAGGTTGCCAACATTTGCTTTCCAAAACGTAAGCTAGCTGAGGCCCATGGGAATGTTGTCAGTTTTGAAAGTATATAAAACCAATGCGTTAGACAAATGAAAGTTTTGATCTGATAGATGTCCTTGTGGTGTGAGCTAAAATGTATTTGATCATTCAGGACAAAAATGATCAATAAATACATAAATTGGATTGATCCCCTGGGGACCATGACTGCAAAATGTTATCCATCCAGTGGTGCATTGTTAAAATATTTGTAACATAAGTGTTGTAGCGCTATCATGGCCTATTAAAATATGCATGAAGAAGAAGAAGCTGAGAACCAGCTGTTGGTTTGTGAGCTTGAATAAAAAATGCAGAAATGCTATTGTTCATTTTTTTACTTTATTAAGAATGGAATACAACAGCAGGACAAAAAGTCACAAGAACACCAAAAAAGTGAATGACCGATCAAATATCAAAGACAAAAAATGGTGTCATTCTACTCATCAAAGTAAAAATAGCCGTGCAAAGATTGAAAGTATTTAGCAATTCAGATACAATCAAGTGGTTATCTCCTAAAGTATAACCCCATCAACACTATCTATGTTATCGGGACATTTTCATTAGTTGAGAGTGCTTATAGGAATGGGGGGATCTATTTCATTAGACAAGGTCCAACTATTGATCAGGGATCAGCCAAAAACAAACACCACAATATTTACAATACAGAGATTAGTTTAGAGGCAATCAAATGATTAATTTAGTTTATTGTTGACTGTTGGACTTATATATTGGTAAAGAAAATGATGTTAAGTCGGCTCTTTGAAGTATAAGTAAACAATGAAAGCATACTCACTAGCAAACGATTTATAATAAATAGTAACATAACACAAAAACATAGCAAAGATTAGAAAAAGCATGTCAGTAGAATAAAAACAGGTCAGCTCTCAGTTTCTCTATGGAAAAAGTAACAGCTACAGTACACATACAAAAAGCTCAGGGTCTCCAGGGACTAAATGCATCAATTACATCTGTGCTTTGTAAACAGAATACTAGTATGAGAATCGTTTTCATGTAGAACAAGCAAACCTTTGCAAAAAGTGACTCAGCACTTTTCTAAGTTTCTCACATGCATACGTCACACACTGCTGTCAGTCAGACAGACTGAGCGGGGTTTAGTTCGTAGACAGGAAGAGGATTAACTTTACTCAGATGTTAGAGAGGGAGTTAGTGTCATAGCTAGTGTTCGCATGGACCTTGGTTAAAGGAAGCAGGGTGAAAACATAAAGAAGCATCAAAACACCGGGAGAGTGGTTATGGAGATAAACTGTACAGTATGTTAGAGTAAGAAAACCTAATTGTTAAGGAGGAATAAAGCCAAACGGAGCATGGTTAGAAGCAGGAAAGGAAATGGGGGTGAGCTACTGTCTTTCTTTATGGGCCGTGGTTAGCACATGGGCTTTGCAGACGCTGTATTATTTGGTTCAGTAGTAGCTGTGTGCGTCCTCTCTGGCCTTGTGTCCATCTCCTCCGTGTCTCCTGTGTCCGCGGCGCTCGTTGTGCTGACTGTGATGGTGGCGTCTGTACCGGTGTGACCGCCGGGCTGAAAGAGGGAGCACAAAGGCTTTAAAGTTTATTGTGGTAGATACACAACTGTAATTTTATTCTTTCTTTCTTTTTACCTCTCATTAATATATTAATCCTGTTAATTTAGGAAATATTTGAAGTAACCAATAGTTTGTACCAAAGCTTGACTAATACAGGACTTGAGACTTGAGCTGATATGGAACTTGAGTACAAAAATCCAATAAAATTGAATTGGAAAATAACAGTTTATTTTACATAGACACATAACAAAAATATTTTTGATAAGGATGCATTATACTGTATGTGTTTTTTGTGATTAAATGTATCATATTTATCTGCTGCACTACCTGTATTGTAAGTTGTTCTGAATATGAGCATAACAAATGCAGGTCTAAATTAAACCATGGAAATCCAACACGAAACAGGACAGAATATCAACAAACACAAAACTATTTTATGGAGTGTCATACCACCACAAGACAGTAAAAGGCTATCATAAGAGTCAGAAATTGATAATAATTGATACCAAAAAAAAGGATACTGATAATCTATAACCTCTTATCAGTAAGTAAAAAAGCCTTTACACACCTTACTTTAAACAAAGGTTTAAACGGACACTCACACTTTGTGCAGATGATCCTGGGTCTCTCCCAGCTCCCGTCAGCCCGGCAGCGGGCGGTGGGGATGTGACGCTGGAAGAAGCCCTCGGAGCACTGGTAGCGAACCACTGCATGGATGTCGTAGTGTGACCTCCTGCGACCAATCAAATGGGCGTTCTCCACTGCGGGCGGGGTCCCACACAACACTGCCAAAAATAATTAAATCAAACCATATAAATCATCAAGATGAAGGTTGGCATATATCCATAACAATATACTGGTATACTGACATGTATACTGTGGTGGCAGAAGTCTACATGTGTATAATAGTGTTAATTTACTCCACTTTTTCTGCATTAGGTACAAATCCCACTGCAAATTAAAGCTACAACTGGGGCGCCAGCTTCCTCTTGGGTTTAGAGTAGCCTATACCGCCAATGGACTTTTTTATGTGTTATACATTTCATACAGTACATACAGCAGGGGCTATGCGCAACATCCACATATGCATTTCGACCATGTGTAGTTTTTCACTATTTTCTCATGGTGCTCAGACCATAGAAATACAACTGTACTTTGTACCATATTCAGTATTGCAGGTGTGAATTGCCTCTAGGTGGCAGCTTGTTGCTGTATCTGAGCTGAGCTTGATGCCAGAAGGAGGTTTTGGGTCTCTGCAGCAGAGAGGGAGTGCAGCCAAACCACAGAGCCATGAGACCGCAGCCAGACAAACAAACACTCCTAAACTACTTAATCATTTTCTCAACGTCCTACTCCATCTTTATCCAACCTTTTAGAACTCCTCTCGAGCATCCTCCGTTTCTCCATTATGTCCCAGTCTAAAGCTTTCTTTGCATCCTACAAGTTCCGCTGCATTCACATTCAGGTCGGCTCCCAGTCTGCCCACAGAGGGAAGTTGTGGGAGAGTATTAGGAAAACCTGGCAAAGCTGGCTCAGTGGAATTTCAGATCATATTTGTGAACAAGAGAGTAATTGACAATAACGGCAACTAACGGTTCTGCTGTCTGGACAACTGTTAGTGAGCCCTGAGGACGAACGGCAATAAGAGGAAGATTGAGATTGATATTGCTCTCGAAAATCAATACAGGTTGGACGTTGATTCACAATCTTCACTTAAGTTTGTGTTTAGATTTTTTTTTAAATCGAGCATCTGCCGCTGTGACCTTTAATGGAGAAAAAGTGGAAGAGATGCAGCTGAATGGTTTCTGTATAGAGAGCACAATAAATGATGATGGGCATGAGCAGTGATGACAAACAGCTGCCATCTGGTCAGTGATAACATATAATATAAGCAACCACATTCTATGAGGACGGCAACAAAATCTCTCCAAATGAATGGATTTCGCTTTGATTTGCTGGGAAAGTCACACTAGACCGTTTGGGTCCTGCTACAGTGAGACCAGCAGCATAACAGTACCTGTGCCTTTCTTGCAGATGTAGGGCAGGTTGTAGTTGCAGGGCACATCGTTCCACTTGCCGTCCTCGTGGGCAATGGTCACCACGCAGTCCTCTCCACCTGCGAAGAAGTTATCTGGCTGGCTCTCCCTCCAGTTCTCATATACCTGAAAAACAACAGGATTCAGCAGAAGTTGCTATGTGAGCAGTGGGTTCTTTATGAAAGTTCAGGCATTGTTTTTTTATTTTCTCTTAATAATAATAATAACTTGAATTTATATAGCGCCTTTCATAACCGCAAGGTCGTTTTTACAAAGAAACATACAAGGACTAGACATAAAATATAAAACAGGGGGCAGAAATGGAAGTGTAAGTGGGGGGGGGAGAGTGAGTTATTGTTGGAAGGTGATGTTGAACAGATGAGTTTTAAGGGTTGATGTGAAGATGTTGAGAGAAGGGGCGTTTGCGGATTTCTGCAGGGAGGGACTTCCAGAGGGTGGGGGCAGCAACACTGAAGGTACGGTCCCCGAAGGTGCGGAGGCGTGAAGGTGGAATGGAGAGCAGGCCAGAGTCTGAGGATCGAAGGGTGCGGGACGGGATGTATGCGTGGAGGAGATCTGTGAGGTACTGAGGGGAGAGGGCATGGAGGGACTTGTAGTTGAGCAGGAGGAGTTTGTAAGTGATGCGGGACTCTTAATAAAGTTGAGCAATTTATTAAGGGATTTCCTTATTTGTGTCTCTCTCTGTGCTCTTCTCACTTGCACAACGTCTGCCTAGCTTAGCATTTAGCACCATTGGAATCCTAAATCTGTCTGCTGATGTTTGAAAGATTCTGTAACTAAAATCTGAGGGGTGTTACACTTTGATTCAATAATAACTGAGGTTGTTCCCAACAACATATATTAGTGGCCCTTAAAACTGGAGTTTGAGATGTTCACGATAGCACAGTTCAGAACTGATGATCACTGACCAGATCGTTGTTGTCAGTCCACTGAAAGTCTTCCTCCACTGTGCGATCGTTCAGACCGATCCAGGCGTTGTCGTGTCCCAGACCTGTGAAAAACACAAAAAAACATGTTCCTTAACTTACTGTAACTACTATTGTAAAAACTTTGATATACACACAAACTAAGAAACATACTGTTCTCAAATATGTTTAAACCAGGGCTGTTAATGTTAACGTGTTAATACCTATGGTTAATACTCGCAATGCATCTTGCAGTAAAAAATTTAAGTATTTTATTGTTTATCCTGTTACGTTCTTTGTCTTTGCTTAATGATATGTATGTTATACCCTTATTGTATATCATTTTAAGTGTATTTTCTTCTAGAATATACAAACATTTAGTTGAAACCAAAAACATTAATTGAATTTATTTTTGGTGGGTTTGGTTTTGTGAGTATTTGTACTAGGGTGTAGGTTGTTTATGACAGAAAAACACCAACCGTTGATGAACTCCTGCTCAGTGGCTGAGATGACGCTGCTGAGGTGAGCGCTGTGCTCTCTGCAGTCTTTCTCTGCATCCTCCCAGGTGTGTCTGTGAGTGATGTACCTTTGGGAAAGCGTAGTGAAAGTGGTTATGAAAATACATATTTCATACATTACGCAGCAAGACAAGTTTAAATGGCACAGAGCTCCGTGGTAAGTATATCAGGGATACCTCCAGGGTATAATGTAGACAGATGAGGCAGCACTGTGTTCAGGTTCATATATTTGCCAGTTTTTCACTATTTTTACCTGTAGCAGTGGCCGTGGAACTTCCTCCAACCGTGCTCGCAGCCTTCTACATCTGTAAAGATGAAGAGAAAAGAGGAGTGGAAGTGAGAGAGCTAAAATAATTTCTTAAAAGGGCATTTAAGTGTATAGTTAAGTGCAGGAAAATGAAGTAACACCAAATGGTTTGAGAGAGGATTTTCTTTTACAGAACGTTGCCTCCCATTTGGCAAATAAAGACAAAAATATATGACGGTGGCATCTTGAAGGGCTAAATACATGAACTGTAATTACACAGGCTCTTTTTCAATTCACAGCACATGTGGCCCTCTCTCTGTACTATTAGTATTCATTAATAACACCAAAGCCAGTGGATTAATTTATAACTGCAAAGGTTAGATACTCATTCATTCTCACTGCCACTAGTGCACCACACACACACACACACACACACACACACACACACACACACACACACACACACACACACACACACACACACACACACACACACAGATATAGAGCTAGAGGTGGTTAAAACCAGTGAGGTGATGAATCACTGACTGTTGGGATGAGTGTGTGGTTGGACACACCTGTGACTAAATTGCATCTATTTGCTTATTATGGGCTGCCCAGCTCGTGTTAGTTGACTGATTTCTGCCGCAGCCCTGTTTTGATTACCTCACACTAATCCTGATTTGCCTACTTGGTCTCTCTAACCCTAACCCCCCCCTGGCATACCTCTGCGCCCCCCAGGGGGTGCACGCCCCCCACTTTGAGAACCACTGGCTTACTGAAACCAGAGTGTATATTGTGTTGCCTGCAGAAATCTCAGTTAGTGTCTGCAGACCCGTGACACACACTGAGACACTGTGTCTGACAACAGCTGAGGAATGCATCTTTGTGATGTTGTGTTGTGACATACAGCTGTAACAGGCACTGCCTACTGAGCAGAATATTTCCACTAGCAGTTTGCAAGGAACAAAGGGTTCATTTGCAAGAAACATTTCTTTCTTTCTTTATTCCTAGAACATGTATGTGCAATTCACAGAGTATCAATCAAACTAGTGTTAGTGCGGTATGATCAAAGATCAAGTCCACCACTGCAGTTTCACACACAACAACTGAATGTGTTGATGTAGTGTTCTCATTCTCACCTTTCTCACACGTGTCTCCTCCATAGCTGGGCAGGCAAAGGCAGAGGAACGAATCAATCTTGTCAATGCAAGTGCCTCCATTTTCACAGGGCTCGGACTGGCAGTCATCGACATCTGTGAGGAGGAGAGAAGAAGCAAAAGAGGGCGGGTTGTGGATCTAATTTGTGTTCAGATTAAAAGAATGTATTCAGCTGGAGACATGTTGTTCATAAAGAAAGAGAACTGTGTGGGTGTTTGCTTCACATACGGACACAAGATGAGCAGGTAATTAGTCCTGGTTGGAACAGTGAAATGTGTTCATGCTGGTGAGTACAGTATCATAATGTAATTCCAACAGTGATGAGAATACAGACATGTTTATCAGTAGAACCGCTTTACATTCCTTGTTTGCTCTCATTCTCTCACAGAGAAATACACTCTAAAAGCCTCTCACATCCTTTATGCATTTGCAAAGCGTAAGGTTGATGTATGTCTTGTTTATTTTGTCAATTGTTTTGAACAAAGGCTGAATTTGGGAAGAACAACACGTTGCAATGGTTTTTCTTCAAAGCATTTAAAGTGTAGACACACTTCTGGTGGGATAGACAGCAGAGAGGGTTAATCCGACCAGAGTATCTGGGTTCAAGCCCCCTCTTTTCCGCTATCCACCTACTGGAGAAGCCTTAAGCACCAACAGACTTCAGACCAGCTCCAGGGCTGCGGTGCTACTGTGCTCTCTGACCTCTCTGTGGAATAAAAGGCGAGCAAAAGGGACATTTCTCCACAGGGATCAATAAAGTATCACTTTATCATTGTAAATAGAAGGAATGTAATCTCCTTTCACCACGGTGAGTTCTTTTTTAACCCAGTACATCGGATACCCAGGACTGAATCTATTAAACTCACAGGTAGAGAGCAAAAAGAAAGCTCCTTATAAGTTTAAAATCACCTCAAAGTATTTCCTCAAATCTTAAATAAAAGTTGAAAAGACTGAAAAGGGCAGTAACTATAAACAGCTCATTCAACCCAGTCTCACAAAAAAAGTGTATTAACTACGTTGGTCCACAACGTAGGACGTAGTATTTCTACAAAAACGCCTCTGAAATTGTAGGATCACTACATTTTTTTTCACCATTCCTTCCAATGGCTGGCGTCTATGTCACGTGATCTTCTAATTTCTCCCTGCAGAAAAAAAAAACATGGCCGAACTTCGTTTTATCCTCGGTGGAAAATGCCTATTTTAAAGTTAGTTTGGCCATTAAAAGATGTCATTTGATGCGAGAAATATGAGTTGTTATTTCAGATTATGTGTGCAGTGGATGTATATGATCTTTAGTTTGCTAGTTATTACGAAGATTACTTCAGGAAATTGTGTCTACACAACGTTTTCATTGTTATCAAGGTGGTTGCTAGGGACGCTGCTATCGATATTATTTCTGTTATGTTGTGTAACTGTTTAATGATGTTATCTTTATTGCTACCCCCTTCCCCGTCAATTTATAGTGTTGGTCCACAGCGCAAATGTATTAGTTTAACAAAATCCGCATCTAAAATTGTGGCATAGATACTTTATTTTCCCCTGTGCAATTCCAGTCTCACATCTCACATCACATCGTCATAAACAAATACCGGAAACAGACCGAAAACATTTTTAAAAAATAAAATAATACTTCATTCCGAGTGTGCTTGCTTTTCTCTTTGAAAGTCATCACATTACATATTACGTAATCTACATCTACTGCAGTGGTTCTCAAACTTTTTCGGTCAGGCCCCCCCTTTGGAGAAAAAAAAAAGTCGGGCCCCCCCAACACAAATAGTCAGGCTCAGTGGCGGCGCCAGATATTTCTTTTGGGGGTGCTGTGGGGTAGCTTGACGTTTCATAGAGGGTGCTCAAACATTTAGGGTTTCCCATTAATGTACCGGGCGCTACAGTGGAATTTTCTACTGCAACACTCCCCACGCACATACACTATGTACCCGTATGACTGTTACAATGAAGGCTCGATATCAAGTCTCGGCATATAGGTGTAAGCAGGGGTAAAGTGCTATTTTTATAGGTGGTGTGTGGACCTCACATAGGGGGGTCCGGTGGCATGCTCCCCCGGGAAGATTTTTAAATATTGAAGTTGAAAGCATCAATCTGGTGCACTTTGAGAGCAAAATGAAGAGATCTATGGATACATCTCTCAACACCCAGATGAAACAGAATTGTAAACAGATTTACTATTTCTTTATGGATATTTTCTAAATCACTCTTTTAAACTTTATTCTTGTTTTACTGTCATATAGTATTTCATAGCTGTTTTTCATGTATTCTCTTATTTTTTTATAACTATAATGATCATATAAACGTGTGCCTCGGAAATAATTGTTTACATTAATGGTGACCAAAACGTTTGAGACCCACTGAGATAACACTGAGAGTCCTTTAGCTCACTGAGACTCTGAGTCTGACAGGAGAGGACTCTCCTCCACTTTGTTGTTAAAAAAACTCCTTATATCCGTTAGCGTAGCTCGCTAGCACCAGAAGCTAACATCAACGATCTCCGGTACCGGTGCGCTATCTCTCTCTCTCGCTCACGCACGCACACAAAATGGCTCGTTCCACACACACACACACACACACACACACACACACACACACACACACACACACACACACACACACACACACACACACACACACACACACACACACACACACACACACACACACACACACACACACACACACACACACACACACACACACACACACACAGAGCCGAGCTTTAATGAAACACAGAGACCCAGACGTAATAGTACTGTATCATATTATTTTCGAATCAATAATTTTTCAAAATATGATTTTTTTTTTTTTTTTATAATCTTTTTTTTTTTTTTTAATAACCATTTTCCCTCCTGGTCTCTCGCGCCCCCCCTGTCATGCCTCTGCGCCCCCCTGGGGGGAGCGCCCCCCACTTTGAGAACCACTGATCTACTGCAATGCACTATTCACTGGTCTCCCCAAGAACGCTATTGGAAGACTCCAGCTCATTCAAAACTGCAGCTAGACTACTAACGAATACCAAAAGGAGGGAACACATTAGTCCTGTCTTACTCTTCACTGGCTTCCTGTAACTTTTAGAATTGATTTTAAGGTGCTTCTCCTCATATACAAAGCTCTAAATGGACAAGGACCCAGCTACATTGCTGACTCTCTAATAAACTACACACCCGCCAGAACACTGCGATCATCAGATGCAGGTCTATTAGAGGTCACCAGAAAGAGTCATAAGAAGATCGGTGATGCAGCCTTTGTAAACTACGCCCTTTATTCTTTAAAGCAAATGAGCTGCTCCGACCCTCGGTCCTGACAGACTCCAACTTGTGTTTATTAATCAAACAAATAAATAAACACAAGGATAATTATGTGTTATTGTTGAGTAAATGGAGAATTGCACAGGGGGAAATAACGTATCTATGCCACAATTTTAGATGCGGATTTTGTTAAACTAATACGTTTGCGCTGTGGACCAACACTATAAATTGACGGGGAAGGGGGTAGCAATAAAGATAACACCATTAAACAGTTACACAACATAACATAAATAATATCGATAGCAGCGTCCCTAGCAACAAGTAACAAGTAGTTAATAATAATAAAATACATTAAGAAAAAGGCATTTTAAACAGTCATTAAAAAGCAACACAATCTACCTGCATTGCATTACTCTAAACGTGTAATAACGTGCTTTAACCAGTAGGTGGTTTGGGTTAAAAAGCTGTCAAGTTTACAGTGTTAACAAAATAAAATATACTGCTGTTTCTGGTTTAGTTTACGACAGATATATTATTTAGTTATTGTTTTGATATTTATAACACAAAAGCGATGGAAAAAACCCACAGCAACACAGAAAAGATGGTCTTAACATGACCCAACGGTCTAGTAGTTAATAAAAAACAATAATATCAAAACAAAATATTACTACTAACTTTATTGTGAAATTCAAACTGAACGGTAAAAGAATAGTTTCCGGTCTATTCTGAGCCCGATCTCTGTAGATAAATAATAATAAAGAACTACGACAGATGTGTAATATATTTAATGCAGCCGAACCATTTATTACAATGCATTCATGTGATGACTTTCAAAGAGTAAAGCAAGCACTGCTGAATAAAGTATGATTTTATCTTCTACGAAACGTTTTTTTTCATATGGAATGCAGTTGGAGGTCAACCAATCACAGAGCTTGAGAACTAATCACAGGGTTTGTCAAACAGAGCATATGGTGTAGTCCTAAACGATAGCTGGGGATTCTGGGTAGTGTAGTGTCTTCTGCCATCCTTTACTCCGAAAAAATATTTGTTTCTCCGAATCAAAGGGGAAAAATACAAAAGCATTGCACACAATTTAAACCAATCAATGTTGTGTAATTAACAAGGATAATCTGGTGTTTTTTAGTCGATGAGTAGTGCAGATATCACTGTAAAATCAATCGACAGTAAGGGGAATACTTACTTCCGGGTGTACAATTCTCCGTTATCCAATGGGAATGGACGCTCACATTGCCTTTAAGGGCAGCCGACACAAACGAATGCCGTGCTTCCATGAGCGTCAAATCCAGCCGCAGATGGGAATACATTGCAATAAGTTGAAAGCTATTTGCGTCCCTTTATGAAGCTGAAGGAGCCTAGGAGCGTCACAACTGCACGCCACGGGACCCTGACCAAACGTCGCTCCTGGACGATTATGGAGTGAGAGTGTGTTGTGTCAGAAAGATCAAACTGACCGTACAACTCAAATAAGACCTTCAGAGACGGTTGCAATGGCAAGGATTATTTTCTGAAATAAATTGTGGTTTATCAATGAAGAACGTTGCAAGGTGTTCTTGAGTCTGTATGTTCAAAAGTGTTTTGCTGCTTCTTCAAAATGGTTAGGGTTTACTTTAATCTGACAGCAGCACAGGTTGTCTATCTGGTTATAAAAATGGCAGCTGAGGCTGTTTTTGGAGGACAGATATGGGAACTGAAACCAGAAATTTATGCTAATGCTTTTTCACTCCAACAGGCTCAAAGTTGTGTGATCGGTCAAACAATGTTGTTTGTCTGCAAGATAACATAGAAATCGAAGAGAATAAGAACCCTGAGAGTTT